TGTAGAAATGACTCTTGCTCCGCACTTTAAAATCCCCTGTCTGCTGCTAATTTTATACCTCATTAATTTTGTATAAGTAGGTATATTATTTAAAAAAAGATGACCACAGTCCCTTGGAAGTTCTTCTCCGCACAGGTTTAATTAAATAAACCGGTGGTAGTTTTTTTTACCTTCAATGGGAGAAACAAACTTGCGCTTTTGACTTTTAAATCATTATAGTTAATTTATCATGAAAAAATATAGAATAGTAAGCCTAGTATGATTAAGCTGCTTTTCTTTAGCTTGTCATGCATATATCTTTGCCAATAACTTAACCCCAAACCAAACGTTTAAACCTGAAATGCCTAAAGACCTTTTTGTGGGTTCTCCGAGCAATATAACAGCGATGCCTTACGTATGAGTTCTGCCAAGCCTCCCGTTACCGGAATACTTTACCCATCGATGAATTAATATGGTTCCCCGAAGCGAATTGGGATACATTTCAAAATATCTCACAACCTGAATGCCTTTGCATGAAATACCGAAGAACATGCGCTTTAAATATAGCGTATAATGCGGTTCCTTAATAATTCCTAGAATTCCAAATGAAAAATATTGCTGAAAAGATATCTGTTGGTCTTCATGCTGATATATCAGCAATCATTGCAAGATTATTAAAATCACAATTATCCTATTTTTTATTGGATTTGAAATAAGCGACGATAACATCGTCAAAATAACTATCACAAATTAGAAAAAACTATCTATGACAAAATAAAACCGTTTAAAAACTTTTAAGTTAAACGGTTTTATTTTATGTTTTTTTTTTGGTAAATTTTTTTTTGTTAATATTGTATTGTCATCTAAATTAAATGTGTGTACCAAATTTCAGATCAATCTGACATCGGCAAGGTGCTTAAATTTCAATTTCTAATTTTGACCCAAACAAACAAATTCCGTACGGGTCGAGCTAAATAAAACCGTTTAAAAACAATCTTAATAGTGGATATATTTGCGTAATACGATAATCTTGTTCATTAGACTTATACATTTTTAAATTAACCTTAGTAAGTAAAAGAAGATTTTTCAGAAATTTATGGAGCCTGGGCCAGCACTAATATGTTATACATTTTTTGAACAATCAAGATATAAAGCAGAGCAATTCAACATAATGTTAATATATTGCCTTATAAACATAGTCTAATTATATAAATGGATTATACTAAAAATAAAATAAAATTTGTCCGCGTACGATATTAACGGCTCAAAAAACAAGTCATATCGAACTAATGTCAAAGCAACGGTCATGGCTTCTACTAATAAGGGATTCATGGTTGAACTGTACTCGTTTAATTTAATATTACTTTTATAAGATTTCTCTGTATTTCCAAATTTTCTATGTTTTGAGCACAGCGGTGACCCAAAACGTAAAATCTCTTTTTAAACGTTATGCTAAATAACAATGTAGAAAGAAGGCGTTAAGATTTTCGTCGCTGTGGCTATCAGCCGTTTAGCTCAGTTGCTAGAGCGTCAGGCCGCGAATGCCGAAGACGTGGGTTCGATTCCCACAGCGGCGACAATCTTTGCGTACTTTTTCTACATGTGCAGAGATTAGCACTGTAAAAAACTTTAAAAGATTAGTAATATATCTTAAACACTCCAGCACAGTTTTTATTTATTTATTGCGTAGTTATTTAATCTTCAAAGTTAAATCACCTCATTGACATTTATTCGTGATGTGTGAAATTCGCCAATTTATTCAAATAATAGGAAATTCATTCAAATATTACCTTTGAAGAGAAATTAAATTTATCAAAACTAAAAGAAGTAACGGAAGTTATTGGGCTGCTTGAGCAAGCAAATCCACATTACAACGTACGTATGATGAGTTAAATTTCCAAACTGTTTCCCTTCGCGTTACGTAAATCCATTGTTTTGTATTCTTGGAACTTTTACGCAATAAGCTCGATAAAAATAACACTGACAACAACAGCCTCTTTACACTCCGTTAAGGCTTAATGTGGTTAAAATTCGCTTTCTCTTTTGCGCAACAACTCAGCAAGGTGTCATACAGTTAACGACAGGCTTAGGTATTCCACAGTAAAATTTACAGACATTTTTATCATGCTAAATCTCACTTCGGTTACTTTGCTCATGCCGGATCACGCTGGATTACATTGAAGCAAGGCGTCATTTAAATAAGTAAATCTTCTTTGTACAGCGATATGGATCTTTACCGCGAAAATAGCTCGAGGTGAAGAGATAATATACCGCAAACGTTGAATGACGCTATAAAGATGTATTATTATTTGCTTTGTTTCTATTAACGTGAAACAATACCGCTTACGGTGTCTTCACAGTTATCGTCGATAGATCATGAGACGAATCGTGTCACACGTGTTAATGAATTTATTTATAAGCGTCTCAATCCACTGCTAGATGTTTTTCCTTTCTGAATCGGCGCACAGGTACACCGATAAATTTATTTTGTTCCGTTTAACTTTCACTTGGATCGTAGTAATGTTTTTCTTTATTTTTCAAAACAATTTTGCTTTGCTTGGTTTGCATATCCTATTATGGCCAACACAGTACCGCTAACATATAAATATAGGTCATCGGGAGAACATTGAATCCGTACGACACAATGTTTTTATATTATTCCATATCGGAGACATTTTGACAGGGCCACCGCTAGCCGCAGGCTCTCCTAGAGAAGCAACTCTCCTTAATATAACACACGCTGGAACGTCTTCTTGTCTCACGCCTTCGTACCGTGTTCGCTGACTAGAGGCCATAGGAGCTAGAAAACCCAGTGCTAATAGCAACACATAACATCAAGCCACCCGGCCCGAAGCGGCGAACCAGCTTTGTGGCTCCACCGCTCACTCCGCCGTGTATGTAATAGAGGGTAGGCAGCACGACTCCATCTCGTTTTCACTATTAGTTTGTCTACTCTCGACCTGTTCCCCACACCCTCTTAGCACAAATCGAGAGCCGCTCTCTCAGTGCGGGTTTGTCTTGATTTTGCCATGGATGAACAAGCCACGGCTACTGAGCCCCTCCGCCAAGATAAAGCAGAGGGGATCATTACTTCCCCAACCTTTTTTACTGTTAACACCATAAAATGTTGTAGATAGTCTTCTACTTGTCATAGTCTACATTCAAAAACTTGCTTTTTGCATAAAATACACAAACAGTAGGCCCCATATAAGCAGATCGTATTGTAAGGAGTTGTTTAATAATATTTCCGACAAATTTACACTCCAAAAAGTTCATAGGTATCTGCGGGTGCGATTTGTATGCATGTTTGTGTGCCAGCTTGTAAGAATAAACTTATTTTTCTTAGCCTATCTCTTCGGACTCAACTTACTGATATAGAATAGGAAAATATAATGTTTTCTCCAAGCTTTATCAATCAAAAAAGACAATGCGTCTGAAGCTTAAAAAAAATTTACAAAGACTCACATTCGCAACTGTATGTCGTTTATCGTTATAATATCTCAAAGATCTTCATGCAATTTGCTGTACACAAACTAAAGAGTGCACGAAAATTCATATCCACTAAGTTACATAGCAGGTGACACATAAATTAATTTTGAAGTCCAGTAATTGCTTACAGCTATAACGTATACGTAATTCTCACTACCATCTGCTTTTAAATTTTGGAAATATGTAAACAACTATACTTGTTACATAGATCACTTGTCAGTGCTTGTTTCGAAAGGTGTCGTGCTGTCTGAACAAGCAGACCTATCAACTTACATAAATTTCGGAGTTTTAAATTAAATAGATACATCTATTGACTTTGAATAGATACTGTGATAGCTTAGTGTCTAGACCCTGAGTCCAAATACGACGATTTCGACCTACCGTTGGCAATTTGTAGGCATTAATATTTTCATGATACAGTTGGATTAGAGTATCAAGCCTTGCTTTGAAAAGCTTGCTTGAAGATGAATGCTGGAAAAACCTTCACTCTTCATGAATGCCAATCGAATTGCGGCGAAAGAAATCTGTGGTTCATTAATAATCGAATGTCATGACGACTAGTTCAGTGCGCACTTAGGTTACTCTTATTGGCCACCAATGAGGGCCAATTCGCCGCGCTGGTGTCAAGTTAACCCCAATCTCAAAGTTCGCCCCCTTTATCTGATGAAAGAGATATTTTTCATTGCATCAGCCCAGCCTGTACACGTGTAATTAAATATTCAACATCGGCAGCGACCGATATCGCTACTGGAGCATTGATTCATCTCCTCTATTCTAACGCGGGCTTGGGTGTGGTCTGATGGCTGAATTGAAAAGGTATTTTACAAGGCACATACAGTAACGCTTATTGATTATTTCAATTCACTCTATGAGGGCGGAAACGTTCCCTTATCAAATATAATCACATAATATCGGCGAGAAATGTGTAGGCAAAGGTCAAACATATCCTAAGTTGCGATACAGAAATCCACCAACGCTATTTCACTTTTAGAATTTCTAACATTAAATATTTGATAATAACATAATAATAATAACTGGCTGTTATGGAATGCACGGCTTAAACCGTTGAACTTAAAAGCATGAATAATTAAGCAAGGGAAGTTCGTCTAAATAAGGCCGGCATCTCTAATAGAATTAAAATATTTACATACATTTCAAAAGCTACAGTAAGATCCATTCCCGTCCATATAAAAGATAATAAAATATAGACAGGGGAAGAAAGAAGTACAAAGTGCTATTTTTTACTCCACATTCGTCGCATTTGCTTGCACTGCATTGCATACTAAATTTCGTTAATACGAAGATCACTGTCCAATTATTCTTAAGATCTGACAACAGACTCAAAACTAACGGTGGATAACTTTATAAACAGATTTTATAGCCCCTCACTATTATACCTTGACTATATACCTACTATTTCAATGTACTTTGCCGTTTTTGCAATGTCCTTATTTCAGTTTATGTTATTTCTATTGTATTCTGTTACTTGCTTACGCAAAAATTAAACATGTATCACTTTATTATCTTTACAGGATTGAACTCGCGTATAATGGGTCGAGAGAAGATTTGGATCCCTATGTACCGGCGGAACATAGGCCCTTGGAGTCAAATACATCGTGAGTTCTTTCTTTTGCCTTTTATAAATTTCCGTTATTTATTATACAAAGTGGAACTAACAGAGTGCCTTTTGGGTCAACAAAATCAACAACCACCATTGGTATAAATAATTTCAAATCGAAATCATGATCGAAAATATTACCCACAGCGTACGTCATTGCCACGCCAAAATACCGCCTTTGAAATGATGAGAATGTAGCCTTTGTTACACAATTTTCAATAATAAAATGTAATCATAGAAGCCTTGACACCCTTGTATTTCGAACATTACTTTGTAATATTTAAAGGCAGAGCGGATTTTTTTCTTTTAACAGAGTGACTTTTGTCAGATCTTTATTCGGCACTTCCGTAACTACTTCTATGATCCCGTTGGAGGATAGCTTAGCATAAAATCAATAAGAATTACTTTTTAATTTTATTATGATTATTGTTTAAGCATTAAATTAAATAATAAAATTATATTTTATAAATTATACTCGGTAAAAATTCCAGATATATCACATCAACACACCATTGGTATCGGAAATATTGCCAAGTGTACCCGTAAGTCTGAGTGGACGAGATCACACAAACAATTTATTTCGATTGGATCTCTCCTTTATTTTCCATCCGCACCGTATTACAATAGGCCATTGAGCGTAACTTGAAATGAGTTTGCTTTGTTGGCGTTTTCTAAGACTAAGAGCCTATTCAACTCTTATTGCTTCATCATACCTCAGAGCCCGTAATTGCAAATTTTTATGTTGAAATTTGCCATGAGAGCGGTACACCTGATGTTAATCTATTGCAACCGCCTGTGACATGTACAACGCTTGACGGGTTTCAGAAGCATAGCCAACCAATAAAATAGTGGACTTCGTCTACCTAATAAGGTAGACCAGACTAAACGCGAATGTTATGACTGATTGATTAAACGTGAATGTCAAATATTCCTAGCAGATATTGTAAAGTGTTCCTGTTTTTTACTAACGTTATGCGAGGACATCTATTAGATAAAGATAAATACGACCCGTTGACGTAGTGGATAGTGAAGCTATCTCTTGCACTAGAGGTTGTTAGTTCGATCGAAACGTATGGAAAAGTATTTTGCAATGACTAAATTTATTGACAACTGTAAGTGTTTTTCTAATCCCTGTACTCTGCTTCTGGGCATTAACATATCAATAAAAAGTATTTAGTTACAACCACAGTATGTTTATCTACCTACCTAGTACTCGTACTCAGAGTAAAAACTTAGCTTAGTTAGGTACTAGTATTTATTTTAATGAAAAGTTGTTTAAAATTTTGAAGAAGGTTTTTTAATGAGGTTTTGGTTAACAGGAGCTTTGGGGCCCTGGCGCATCTGCTGAAGGCATCTCTCGGGTCAGGGGTGCTGGCAATGCCACTGGCCTTCAAGAACGCCGGCATCGTCGTCGGAGCCATTGGGACAGTTGTGATAGGGTTCATCTGTGCCCATGTCGTCCACGTACTGGTAAGCCGCCACTATTCTTTTTTTCTTTTTTTTTTAAAAAAAACATTGCCCTTACTTTAGGATAACAGTATCCTGTGTTGTAAGGGAATTTTACAAACATAAATGTCACGCGGACAAACACCCAGATGCGAAACAATTATCTCTGGGTCACACAAATAGTTGTCCCGTGTGGGAGTCGAACCGACCACGAACCCCGACGCCGAAGCCAATACCTTGGCAACTACGCCACGGAGTCATCATTCTGACTCGTTCTGAAGTTGTGAATAAATTGTTACGTGTATAAGAGGGCATGAGCTTTTTCTATGGACATTTGAAGGGTGTACGATTACGTACGGGAAGATTAGCATCCATACTAATAAATGGAGAGACGGTTTTTTTGTTCGGTTATACTGCGTAGAATACGGAACCGATCGGAATGATACTAATGAGTAACCATGAGTTGAAGTGTGTTTCGGAGAATGTTTTTTTTTATATGATATTTTGGTGATGACTTATCCGGAACCTATATTTTACCTATATTCACAAATTTTACATTTTTAAAACTCTGTGGCAACGAACTTTACGTAACTGATTTACAATAATAGTATGTGTAATATTAGTTTGTGTTTTATATTGACTGTATGAACGTAAATAATGAACGTGTTGTTAATTTTACGCATATATTTACCCGACTGCGCCAGAAGTAGGGTTATGTTTTTCGAGACTATGTATGTACGTATGTACAATTATTTGCACGCTTTGCAGCCTAAACGGCTTGATGGATTTTAGCTTGAGAGGTCTCGTCAGATACGTATTTACTGGGTACATTCAAATAAAAAATTAGGTTTTTTATTCTTTTAAATTATATTATACTTGTTTACATAAGCTTTAGCTTCCTGCATTTCTTCTCCGTGTAAGCTATATAACTATAAATAAAAATCTCTAAATCTCACATTCCTCCCTGCATACTTTAGATACATTTTTTTTAAATATAGCGATACGAAAAAAAATTTATAATTTATACTTACTACTTATTTAATTTACAATACTACTTTATCGGTTGTTCATTGATTTATTTTAAATTATTTTTTACTTGGTCCAAAACAAACAAATTTGCGATTTGGATCAAGATGAGAAAGTAAATAATTTTTTCGTCCGCTGCTGCCGAAAGATATTTGTTTAAGTAATGTACGGGTGATTTTATCAATAGGGAACAATTGTAAACTAAAAAGTTTTAAGTTAATTTTTTAAGACAATTTTATGCCTCAATGTAACTTACAATGGATTGTCTAATCTATCCTTACGAAAATTAGTACATTTTATTCCAAAGTGTAAGTTGTTATAAACATGTTCTATAAATAATGTACCTACTATGTAGTAGTCATTGATTAGCCATTTGGGAGTATGCAACTTTATCAAATATTTTATTTGTCATATTTCTCAAGAGCCGTAAGGAAAGGCCGGAGGTCTCAGCGGAAATCCCCTATTATGATAAGTCCAGTAATCTTTATTCCTGGGCTACTTTTGTAGATTCACGCAAGTGCGTTCACAATTTTCTTAAGCCGCATAATATCGAAGTCCCGGGAATCCCTGAACTGTAGTTCCCCCCGCATTATCGATTCCGCAGAAAATATGCGGGATTATCCCCGGGTTTGTGTGTGTTTGCAATTGTAGCAACACTTTAATCAATGAATAGTAAAGATGGCATCTGCTAATAACTTTCGTTGCAGAGTTGTTTTTGGTATACTTAATTTAAAGCGCTCGTTTGAAAAAGTGAATATTTTTATGTTTTTAACGAGAACTATTAAACCAAATTCGAATATCTTTATTGAATATAGAAGCATAACACTAACTTATTGACTACTACTTAAATGATTTATTCTCGTAACGACAATAAAAAAATGTATAATTATAAATTATACATTAGCATCAAATTAATCGTGCTACCTTGGTTGAATAAAACATTATTCTGTCAACCCTAAGCTGAGGTAATAGTCGAGTAGTAGTAAAGTGTAAAATATGACCACTCAAACAGATTCTCAAACGATCCAGGTCAAGCGTGGCCAAACGAACACTTAACTCGGCGATTACTCGAGCTTATTGCGTCACGATATTTTATGACTAGCCTCTACTTGCGTCTTCATCTGTGTGAAATGGATATGTCTGATGGTACAACATATTGTACCATCAGATTTATCAGTAACAGTAATAGACGGTTTGTTATTTTCTAATTCGTCATACTCATTTTACAATAAACTTCAAAATCGTAATCGTAATACTTTACGAGTATATACGTTACGTTATATTTATATATACCTTCAGGTGAAACAGTATTATATAAATTTTATTTAGTTCTGTGATAAAATTTTCGTTTAATCGATCTTCGAGTTGCAAAAAATGGGACCAACTGCATTTTTATGGTACTTCCGAGGTCTAAGATAACCGTTAGTAGATCAGAATATTGGTGAGTTTTGCCTTTTGTATATATACAGACCACTTCGATCCCACGCTGGCTTGGAGAAGACAAGGTCTCTCAACTGGCGCCATTAGCATTCTGACCCGTCACAAACTTTATCTCGTTATTATTCTTAATGTTGGGAAAATAGAAATCCAAAACAGATGGAAAAGCGTTTTCACTCGACGTCAATGTGCCTTTTAACTCTCTACGACCGAACCCTTGTGTATTTACAAACAACAGATGTGTTTATAAATACACGAAACGGATTCAGCGGCAAGCTTAAACTTTCTCATTTATTATTGTTATTTCATTACCATTCATTATTTTTTCGATAAAAAAAACGTTATTGCTATTGTCAATTATAACTTTCTAGTGCTTCTGTATCTTGTTTTAAAGCAACACAGATAAATAAAATTGGAGTGTCCGTTTGTAATATTAAAATAACTGCTTTTTACTAAGTGCATATGGATGTATACACACACGGTACATATAGCAAAATAACAATTTTTACAATTTTTGTCTGTCTGTCTGTCTGTCTGTTTGTTGCGACTAATCTCTGAAACGCCTAGACCGATTTGGACGGAACTTTCTGGCAGATAACTTATGTAATAAGGAGTAACTAAGGCTACTTTTATTTTAGATTTTTTTTATTTTAAATTCCACGCGGACGAAGTCGCGGCCACAGATAGTTTATAATACAATCAAACGTAGTCTTAATGCAATTTACATTAATTTGATTATATTATTAACTGAAACTAATTTTATGTTTTTTATAAAGTTATTTTAATATTCAATTCCCGATTTACGGAATACTTTACAACAATCATATAATGTGATTGGTCAAATTACATAAACCACAAATCGGAGAAGAACATCAATTCCTACCAGGAATTGGATCCCTTTTGCAAGAAGAAGGCTAAGTTAAATAGTTTGGAATCCTGCAAAAAATAATATCTAATAAATCATATTATAAATCTAGGATACCTATATTAAGCACAGCAACGCTGTGACACTTTTTGCATAGTTCAGGCTAGATCGTAATCATTAGAGAACTTATAGAAACCCGTTTTAACCCGTACAATGAATGTTCGTATCGTTCGAAACTGAACTTTAATTAAAGAAATGAAATCCATAAAAATAGGCTAATAACAAGTGCTGTGTTCGCGCAAAAGTAATATTTTATTCATTTGATTCTATTGACATAACTCTTGCTTTTTGTATAAAGTGGATCTAATATTGCAGATTAATGTAAATTAAAATCATTAAACAAAATCTTGGCAAAATGGTATCTACTAATTGGACATTAAATGTTCCTTTTAAATTTGTTTTACATACACAAATTTCACATGAACGAAAACCCAGATGCATAACAATTATTTATCTGTGGATCATAAAAGATTATTTTTAGTGGTAGGATTGGTAGTGGTAGGGCCACGCAGCAGTCTCGGCTGTTGCACGAATGGGCAGGCTCGTCCGGCTAAGTACCATGACCTCACAGAAGACCGGCGTGAAGTGGAAGTATAATAATTTCGCATTTCGTCTGGTGAGTGAGGTAGCCGGAGCCCAATTTTCAAAAGGTTGTCAACGCATCTGCAACCCTCGGGTGTAGCAGATGTCCATGGGCGCATTATTCACTTATCATCAAGTGAACCGCCTGCTCACTCGGTAAATTCACATATAAAAAAAATTGTAATTATGAATAGCTAGATAACAGTCCAGAGTAGCAATAGCTAACCGTGCCATCTTATGTGATAATCAAACATACTCGTATAAATCATTTCTATTCAAGTTTTATTCATATTAGTGCTTACGGATCGTAATTGAGATAATTGCAAATTTATAAATAGACGCCTCTGTACTAAATCAAGGCGAAACGGAGGTAGGTTTATGAAATAACCTTCATGTCAACTTTTGCTTTATTAATGAATTTGATTACTTGTGTTGGCGCAGTTGTCAAGGTGTTGACTTCGGCGTCAGGGGTCGTGGGTTCGATCCCCACACGGGACAACTATTTTAATAAAAACTTGTCATGTATTCCTTATTTTTATAAGTGTATATGTTATACAGCGTGTCTTTACCACCGCGACAATAAATGAACACACATCTAACGCTACTTGCCAATAATCATAAAAATATATTAACGTTAAAAAAAACTATAAAAAGAAAAAATATTTCTTAAACAAACTAATTAAATTAAAAAGAAACAAAATTTGTAACAACCTATACAACTACAACTGACTGATTCATACATTCAGAGAATTTTTCATTCGTTACTAAAGCGTCGCATTACAAGCCTCTCCTTCTAACATTATGTTTTGTCTCTTTTAAATTCATTCCAGTCATTCATATGCTCTGTGACCTTTACAAATGAAATTTACGTTACAGTATTATACGTAAGGATGTTCTAAAATTGTTTGTTTTAGAAAATTTAATAACTTGGTAAATATTGATATTTAAATAATGTAAATGTTTAATAGAATTTTAAAAAGTTATCCGGTATATGTGTGTTCATTTATTGTTGCGGTTGTAACGACACGCTGTATATAACATTCTTCTTATATAAAATTTTGTAACTCTTGCCTCTTTTTGCACGTACCATAAGCTCTCATTATGTCCTGGTTGTAGAGAATGCCTTTGGGCTTTATTAATATTTTTTATTTTTTCAAAGTCAAAGTCAACGTATCTTTATTCTTTATAGGCTTAACTTAAGCTCTTATTGAACGTCAACAAAAAAAAACTACCACCGGTTCACTAAACTAGACCTGAACAGATAAGAACCGGCAATAAAATCTGCGGTCTTGTTCTTTTTATTATTATTTTTTTGTGATGCAATGCTGTAAACTTATTTGGGCATAAAATCAGCAGAAGCCAGGGGTCTTGCAAGTGCAGAGCAATAGTTATTTCCACACATCCTTGTCCTCAATGTATTCTTGGACATTTTAGTAGGCTCTTGCCATTAAGGTAGCTTTGACAAATTATTTGAAATTGAATTAAGGAATTCGTTTAGGGTTGATGATAAAGCGTGAATAAATAAAGAGTACGGTAAAAAATAATGGATACTGATTGATATTACTAATTCTTGAATTGTAGTTTAATGCAAAACTGATACCACAAAAATTTACTTATATTTTTACTATTAGTAACTTTGTTAAATAAAACAATTTTGTAGATTTTAACGCGTTTAGTAATTATAAGATCCGTCACTTCGAAACCAATCTTTTCAGCATCCCTTGATGGTCTTGGGACCATGGGAAAATATGTAATAAGTACAGTTTTGAAAAAAACCTGTACCGTTCAATTTTTCTCTATTGTATTGTTCTTTGTTGCTCTAATGTAATGTGGTCATTATGTTCATCTTCTTCTTTCTTTCTTTGTGGTCATTATGTTCATATGTTGTAGGTGAAAACATCTCAACAGCTGTGTGTGGAGGTGAAGAAGCCATCGTTGGGATACGCGGATACCTGTGAGCTCGTGTTCCAGAACGGCCCAAAACCTGTTAGAAAGTTCGCTCCATTCGCGAGGTGAGACAAATATTTTCTGTTGTACGGTACGCTGACGCAAGCAAGCATTTCTTTGTTTGTGTTATGGTAGTGGTAACCTGGTGGTGGTCATGCCGAATCCGCATTCTAAAGGTCTCAGGTCTTAAGGTCGAATACGTAAGAACTCGTTTTCTCTCCTTCTAGTCTGTCAGTAATTTTTTTTAATTTAATTTTGGACGGTCTTTAATGTTACCGATTTTAAATATCTGTATGAAACGAGAAGAGAACTTTTAAGATGGTTCTCCTTAAAAATGTTTCATATCTTTTTATTTAATAACATAATACATGCACAAAAGATTATAGAATTATATTATATTGTGCATATGTATGAGACTGAACTCCTCCTAAACGGCTAGACAAATGATGTTCTACTGAAAGTGTGGTCAATAAATATTCCAGAACGTATTATTTCTAGTTCTAGACAAAGATAAGCAATGGGTATTAGATACATGATACACATTAACATACTTTACTTTTGAAAATAAATAGAAAATAAAAATATATAATTAACTACACGCTAAAGTTTTAAACATCCAGGTGTGTACGTTTTTGGTGGTAGGACCACGCAACAGCCTCGGCTGTTGCACGAATGGGCAGGGTCGTCCGGGTAAAGCGGAAGTAGAATACTTTTGCGTTTCGTGTGGAGAATAAGGTGACTGGAGTCCAATATTCAAAAGGTTGTCAACGCATCTAAACTTCTCCACCCTCGGGTGTAGCAGATGTCCATGGGCGGCGGCATTCACTTAACATCAGGTGAACCGACTGCTAGTTTGGCAACTTTCACTAAAAAAACTAAGTATTCAGTGGACACATGAAAACAGAATATTATTATTTTTTTATTTTTTAGTAGTTTCTGCACTTAATATGAAACTTAAAAACGTGAAGATAACATGTTGCAGTGTTACGAAATCCTCGCCGCACTAAATCAACGTCATATCTACTTCGGTTTTATTGCATTTGTAGCAATGCTCGACGTGTTCTCGTGTGATTCCTTTACAACGATCATAATATATGCACTCTAATTCGAGAAAGTGTAACTTTAGTTTTCACAAAAGAAAAAAAAGGAGTTTTATCTCTGCCTCTGTCTGTTCTCAAAAGACGAACTTTACCTTAAGGCTAGGCTGAGGTTGCGTGATAGGCTTAAATCATTTACTTGCTTAAAGGTACAATAATTATTGCTACAGCCTTAATTGCCTTACGGCGTAAAACAATAAACCCAAGCAATTAATAATTCAATAGAACTTATTTAGTGAAGAAACCCGCTTGGTTGAGTCGTTACAGCAATTAACGTTACTTCGATGGAATGAGTTGATTCCCTTCTAATCACTAACCTTGAAAGCTATGTGCCGCTTGATATATGACAACATAAGTGAATTGTTATCAATATGAAAATATTCTCCCTCGCCTGGGCAAAGGCCTCGGTGGAACAGAGGATATTAGAGCATAGTTCCCCACGCGATGGGGTCGCAGCTACAGACTACATAATTATACTACATATCTTCGAAACATTTCTTTTTTCTAAAATGTCCACACGCTGTGTTTTAAGCGCTGAGCACGTTATAAATAAGCACTTAAGATTTACAATAATCAAATTGTTAGGTGATGTATGCTGTAAAGTATGCTCACTAGGTCACCCCTAGCATTGCTAAAAATGCAAGAGAATTAACGTAGATAGATGTCAAGACCTTATTTTATGGCGAGGTCATAAACCGCTTAGTTAGTCGGTAAAGTGTCTGGGCGCGAAACCAGAAGACGCAAGTTAGAATGCCGATGCGCCGAAAGTATTTGTTCGTTTATCTACAAAAATTTACAATTGAAAATACCCTTTGTTATCTTTTCAGGGAGCTTGCGGACTGGGCTTTGGCGGTAACCCATATAGGTGCTTGTTGCGTTTACACTGTCGTTATAGCCGAATCATTTAAACAGGTTGGTAAAACTTAAAAGTAAACTGCTTCTCTTTAATATCAATTAAGGTCATCTATGATATTATATAAACTTGCTTTCGCTTAAGAAAAATTCTACATAATTAAAACTCGTTTTGCCATTCAAGTAGGCCGCTTATATTATAATCTCGCACAGGCAGTAACAAAACCTGACGTAACTGATTATGAATATCAACAATTTAAAATTTCTTCCTAAATTGAGCGAAATTTGACAAACAACAAACATATTAAAAACCTCATTAAGTATATGGTGTTCATTTATAACCAATCACTTAAAGTTACAAGTAGTAAGTCTACACAGCAAAAGCTCAGAAATATTTAACATTTGTTTTCGTACGTAGGAAAATTGCAAGCCGAAAAAATGTGGCCCACATGGATCGCCGTATGCTGATTGAAGATTAAACAATACCGTTTCTTCAACAGGTGTCAGATGTTTATGGGGGCCCTAATTGGTCGGTAACCGCCTACTGTGGTCTGACGCTTCTGGTCCTCATACCTCTAACTCAAATTACAAAGCTGAAGTACTTAGTCCCGTTCTCCGCTATAGCGAATTTTGTATGGTTGACCTCGATCTGCATTTCTATCTACTACTGCCTGAGAGACCCGCCCAAGGTCTCTGATAGGAACTTCGCAACTTCCATTACTGGCATACCCAACTTTATTAGGTAAGTATTCTGCAATACAAGTTCAAAAATTAAATCTTCTTGTAATGTCGTTAATGCCCAGTGGCCAATATTTGATTCCTGGCGTCAGCATCGTATGCTTGAGGATTTCTATAACATATATAATATTATGAATTTAATGTAGAAGTCAAACAAAGAAGTACGGAGAAGACAATCGAAAACGTAGAGCTAATTTACTTTTGTGTTGTATCTGTTGATGGCCAGATGATCCATGACCGTCGGAAATGTTTCATCATCTAGTGAAGTAATTGCTCCTTCTTGCGCAATATAAAATAATTAAGCGCCACTTGCTATTTCCTGTTTTTAATTGATGTTATGGGGAAAATGGTTTATATTGGCAAATAATATTACCATTTCGATTTGATTTTCCATTTGCCGGCTATAGGAATACGCAATCGGGTCGCCTATCAACGATAGATGCAACTGCTATGCCAAAATGAGCCTTAACACATTCCAGTACGAGTCTCTTCGCAATGGAGGGTATTGGAGTCGTAATGCCGATAGAAAATGAGATGACAAAACCTCAGCACTTCCTCGGGTGCCCTGGGGTGTTGAATATTGCTATGACGGCGGTCGTAGTGCTGTACGGATTTGTGGGTTTCTCCGGTTACCTGAGCTTCGGCGAGGAGGTGAGAGGAAGTCTCACTTTAAACCTGCCTCAAGACGAAATGTAAGTATAACGAGCTATCCAAGCTTGCTTTAATATACTTTAAGCCTTTCCTAAGCTTAAAACTTCTGTGTAAAAAAAAATGAAACACACTTTTTAGATAAAAGTTCCATGTACGTACTTATGCCAAAATTAGATATTGATTTTATAGCATTTAATTTCATCTGAAATTTGTCCCGTGACATTAGACTCTGAAAAGTATATCTTTATACATATAATTCTTCTGTGCGTGTGTATGTGACTGAACTTCTAAACGGCTGGAGCGATTATAATGAAATTTTTAGCGTGTTCAAGTGAATTCGAGAATGGTTTAGATTAACAATTCGGTCCACTACAAAATGTTCTTTTAGTTAATTTTTTATTTATAAGTTGTCGGATTTACGAGTAAGTAGCGCTAGTGTTTAATAAATTATTTATTAAGCGATGTATTGATGATTATAATTCTCTTAAATTCCCGGCATCGGGAATCGACGGATACTTGAATTTGTTTTTACTAACTTGGCGGTTTCTCTTTTAAATTTTAAAAGCACTGTTGCATATGAGGTATATGTCAACAAAAATTAGAGAAATTCATCAACTATATGGTCATCATATTTTTGGTCAATAGGCGGGCATATATGTTTAAGACTATATCAATTGAAATTGTACAAGTGAATTAGGTAATTTGCAACTACTTACGAAGTACATGTTTATTTAAATTCTAATATCATTGAACATCATCATCATCCTGTCCTTATCCCATCTAAGTGGGGCTGACACACCATGTGAATTATGCGGTTTTGGCTACATTTTTTTACGACCGATCGCCTGCCTGAGGTCAACCCTCCTTAGGAAACTAACAACCAGATCCGGAACAACTATAATTATGTGGGTCACACAAATCCTTGTCCCGTGTCCGGGGCGGTTCTCACCGCTCCCAGCCACCGATTAGCTAAATGCACAGTCGACGGCCGTCGGGGTCTCGGTCCGAACCGGCGACCTCGACGGCCCTTAGATGACACACCATAGTAGTTAAACGCACGCATGAGCACATGCGCGACCCTACCCATAGCGGAGGGTCCAAACCCGTGGGTTCTGGCTAGCCCACCGGTTCTGCGTCCGATGAAGCTTTAATAGTCTCGGGACTGAAAGCAATAACATCAGTTAATACAAGATACAAGAGATGTCCCGTGTGGGAATCGAACCCACGACCCCCGACGCCGAAGCTAATACGCCACTGAGTCATGAACTAATCATAATGAAAGCCTAAAATTGCGAGCTAATGGACCTTTTCTTTGGTATTATTGCAAAAGTTTGGCAAGGATCAGGGAAGTATAAATAGCCACCCCTTTTTAATCTCCGACTAAAATAAAATAAATAAATAAATTTAAACCTTTAATTGAAATACGAACCTTATGCTGTAATAACTTACCAGGCTTTATATCGTTACATGCATAACAATATCTTAAGTAACTAAATAAGAAAAAATGAAACATTTGCCAGTTGCACAAACCACCTGTCATATATGTTCTAAATAATTTCGCATTAATGTAGATACCATTGGCTATCTTATGAAGATTAAAATTATTTAAGATTAAAATACAGAGGAATGTTACAGTTATCAAAGCTACTTTATTTAAACCTTAGAACAAACATCTCAGATAAGGACTCGAAGTAACTGTGTATGACGGAAATTTTACACAACGTTCTCTAGTTCCAAACCAAACAACGCTTATAAACTAAATAACTGATACTACTTACTTATATATACTTTTCGTTTTTTTGTAAATAATTTCATATTATACATATAAACATCCAGACACTTATTCATTAAACAAAAACTCTATTCATCATACAATATTTTTCCATTAGTGAGGGTCGAATCCACACCCTCTGGCGCAGAAGGCAGGTACACTACCCACTACGCCATTCGGGTCGTCAAAAGACTTAATCTTGTATTAATTAATTCACATCTATTTGGATTTTTTTAGAATTATATTTAAATCTCGTTTATTAGATTGGCGCAGACGGCAAAACTCCTGGTGGCTTGCGTGATGCTGCTCTCTTTCGCTCTGGTTTACTACGTGCCAGTGGACGTGGTATGGAGACGGATCCAAGACAAGTTGCCAGCCAGGAGTCACAGATGGGGAATAGCCGGTGTTAGGTTCATGGGCACCATTCTCATAGGTAATTTTCTTCAACTAACAAAATTTGTCTATTACCATTCCATATGTGTGTCATTGAAAACGAGTTTGTACATCTCGCTTTAAAACACCATTGCTTCGTTCTATAATAGTCTCATAAATGTTATCCCCCAGCATTATTCAATGATTGAATTTAAACTTTAATTAGCTAAAGTATCCCAATAATGTAGCAATATCAAATTTTCTACATTTTACTCCCGTAAGAGTCAATTAAAATCCGTGACGTTATGGCAAGGAAAAAGAAATTTTGTTTCCGGCAAATCATTGGATAATACATCCATGTCTCCATGTCCCAAATCTGTTTACGTTTATGTTGCGCCTATGAAAATGTTAACGACAAATTCGCATTACTTCGATTTTACAGTAACGTGTTTAGGAGAAACACTTTTTTATACTGGGTAGGTGGGAAAATGCCATTTAGAATCTGAGTATTTACCTAAATTCCGCATATTTTTTTTTTCAGTGCAAATGTGGCAAACGAGCTGGCGGTTCACCTGATGTTAATTAATAACCGCCGCCCATAGATATTTGCAACACCCGTAGGGTTGCAAATGTGTTGCCATCTTTAAAAAAGTGGGCCCCGGCTACCTCACTCACTCTGTCTGTCTCGCTTTCACGCTACAACTACTAAACTGATTTAAATGAAATTTGGTACAAAGATAGTCTAGAATCTGAAAAAGGCCATAGACAATTTTTTTTTTTTTGCAAATAAGGGTTATAAAGGGGAAAGATATTTATTTAAGGGTTTCAACGCGAGCGAGGCCGCGGGCGAATAGCTAGTACTGTATTCATTAAACATCAACTCCGCCCTTTCTTGCTACAGTCGGCCTAGCGAGCGCGATACCGAAGCTGGAGATGTTCATGGAGCTTGTCGGCGCTGTGTGCCTTTCTGTGATGGGCCTCCTGCTGCCAGCGATAGTGGAAACCGTCTGGCGTTGGGGCAAAGACATGGGCGCCTGCCACTGCGTACTGTGGAAGAACATAATCATCGGCGTCTTCTCGATAATAGCGATGGTCTCTGGAGTTGCATACTCCATCATAACCATGCTGGAGAATCTGTGATATGTAAATGTTCGAATTAAGATGAGCCTTTGGTGATAGAAACCCGAGCGAGGGTGATGATTACTTGTACTCACCAGAATTCTGCACACTTTTAAATGAAATTGTTTTACGGATTTCGTCGCGTTTAATTTTATGTATAGTCACGGTGAAGATTGAGATGTAATAAACCTTTATGTTGCGATTATTTATTTTGTCCAGTCTACGCAGACGACACAAAGTTTTTGAATGCCCCCCTGTGTTGGAGTGAATGGATTTCATTTTTTATTAATTGAAAGAATTTTAAACCGAAAAGAGTTAATTACAACAAATTAAAGGCTATCAATCCGTAAAACTACTTAACGAGGTTTTAGCAAGTGAGAAATTATAATACTATTAAGTAACACTAAGATAATATTGTAAAATTATGTACTTACTTTAAATGTTATGTATATAAATATATTAAATGATAACAGTTGATTTTAAGTCCTATGAAATATTTTAACTCGTTTAGAGCGTATTTTATAATCATCGTCTATTCCACTTAGACTGAATATATAAGAGTTGTGGTCTTGAATATAATAATGAGATAAGCAGAGAAAATAATAGATATATCTCTATTATTTTTATATTTTATAGTGTTATTTTTAAATAGAATTATTGTGAACTTAAATATCTGTTTATTTAAAATATAAGTTATTACAAGGCACTGTAACAGATTGTCAACTTATGATTTATGAACAGTCTTTACAGGCCAATAACTTAATCCTCACTTAAGGTAACCTAAAGATTATATAGCTTGGACGCAGCCCGAACTACAATCAAGATGTTGCATGTAATATCTGCTAAGGGCATCACTTACTTCCTCAATGCTAATTGTACTATAAAAAAAATATACAACATAATATATTATTATTATTTTTTTCATAACAAATATTTTTTTCTTTAATCAGATTTATGCAGAAAATTTCCTTATAACTATTTTATAATGAGGGATGTTGCGGGGTGTGTATGTGATGAGTGCACCAATTTATCACTTCTTAATCCAAAGTAAAAAAGGAACCGCCTATACATTTCCCACTGCTGGACAAAGGCCTCCTCTGTACAGAGGGTATTAGTGTATGGACTATGCGACCCCACTGCAGATTGGCGGACTTCACATTCGAAACATTTTTTTTGTTATTATTTCCAAAATATGCAGTTTTCCTCACGATATCTTCCGTCAACGTTGAACACGTGGTAAGACAGCAATTGAAATTAACAATTTCATTTTGCTTAAGTACCTATATAAAAGTGACGTAAATTATTTGTAGAATTTCTTATTATTTTATTTAGCATTATTTTAACCAACCAGTTATGTATTTTCGTATACTTCACGAGGTGGCTGGCTAGTAAATAAAAAAAAAAATTATGAGATTTGTTCTGCCAAAAGGGACACCTTTTGGCAGAACAAATCTTATAAATTTTTCCTCAACTGTACGATAGTACGGAAGTATTGATTGCCCACCAATTACACGATAGACCATATAATCTTCCCATCATTATATTCTGCAGTCTATAAATAGAATCAACACTGAATTAAATAACATTAACTAGAACGCACTTCTTTCCGTTGCGCATGTAGAAGACACTGTTCATAATTTTTACTCATTTTTAAACAATCCAGTTTGACTCTATTTTCCCAAAATTTTTTTTTTTTAAATAATGGAAGACATCCTATATACATATACCTCAAACTCTATGAAAGTTATTAAAGTAAACATTTTACAGCAGAAATGGAAGATTTAATGTAGCCTTATCGACTACAATACTTAATTTAATATTAGTAATGCTGTTAAAAAATTACATCTGATTACGGAGACGAGCTGTAACTTTTGAGCATGTTTTTGAAATCTTTTTTTTTTTGTGTTTAAAAGTGTTATTTTTTATGTGAGTAGGTGGCAAGCCGATCTTGTACTTCGAACGAACAGTATTACGGAAATGATTTTGGTTTCATTGTCACCTTATCTGATTGATGGAGTTTTGGAAGAGAATATGATGTTACAAACTTAATGTAAGTTGTAGTTCGAAATTCTTATTTAATAGGGAAATGATCAACGGTGTAGACGGTTCGTAGCCCAAAATAACGTAAACAAAATTAAAAGTTTAAATTGCCAGAAATGGAGTGATTTTCGTTCCCTTTTTTATTTGTATTTTCTTGATCATTTGCGTTATTTGCGTATTATTCATTAGACTCTGTTCTGAAAATGTATAATTATATATTACGAGTATTCACTATTCTAATGCATTTGAATTTTTTCTATGGGAGATGAAATTAGAGAGGGATGATTTTTGGTGTTGAACGAAAGATAATTTCTTGAGGAATAAAAATCTTCTAATAAACCAGTATACCTTAAACTCACACTATACGATTTATTAGAATAAAATAGTATTTACTGTATAACGTGTGTAGAATAGAATAGTATGTATTTATACTATGTAAATTAAATTTCTCAAGGCTTGCAGATCTGCGGCAAGACGGCTGAATGGAATAATACACAAATGACGACAGTATTAATCAAATGATTAAATTATCAGTGAAAATAATGACCGTTGAAACAGGAAGCTTCGACGGTCACGTGTGCTCGTGACAAGGCAGACGTCGGTTCATTCTCAGCACGCCCAGTCATTACCGTTGACACGCTGCGGGATAATAACATGAATTGTTGCAATGACGTCACTTTGTCACGTTACCGGTAGTAATATTTCAGGATGCTTGGATGTTTATATGTTTCACGGAGTTTACTTGCGCTTTGTAATTATGTTTTCCTGGTAGGTTGCAATGAAATCCCACTATGCCGTTAGGTGGGTTAGAGGGTTGATCCCCACGTTGAAGTCATGGGGAACCCACACTGGGCCGGCCTGCGACCTAGCCTGGAGGACAGATTGAGTGTGGTCAAGGTCTGTACGTCCTGTCCTCTGCAGCCGAGGTAGAGAGGAGGAGTTTTCAAATTGCGTTTGGCCTCCCTCCCAAGACTCTTTGACTCGGTGTGCCTGCACCTCTGATGCAGTAATCATGGGAAAATCAAAATCAAATGTCTTTATTCAACATAGGAGCATTACACTCACTTATTGATAGTCAAAACACTACCACCGGTTAGGAAAAGAAAGCCACTGTACTGAGAAGAACCGGCGAAAGAAACTAGCGGGCTTTTTTTTTTTAAATAAGCTGTTTGACATAAATTCATTAAAAATAAAATATAAGAACTCCGATTGAAAGAGCCTGGAGCGATCAGTTCATTACCAGATTGTGTTATCATTTAAATAATCATTAATATTATAGTAGCCTTTAACACAAAAACGTTCTTTTACTATTTTTTTTAAATTTAGCTATTGATGCATTTTGAACGTTTTCTGGAATTTTGTTGTAGTAACGTATACATTGTCCCATAAAAGATTTACTTATTTTACGCAGTCTACTTGTGGGTCGAATCAATTTATTTTTGTTCCTAGTATTTATATCATGAACATTATTATGTCTTAAAAATGTATCCTTATTTTTATGGACATACAAAACATTTTCAAAATTGTATTGAGCAGCAACAGTCAACACCTTTATCTCTTTAAACAAGTTTCTTAACGATTCTTTGGGGCCCAGATTGTAAACTGCACGAATAGCTCTCTTTTGTAAGAGAAAGATTGTATTAATGTCGGCCGCGTTACCCCAAAGCAGAATGCCATAAGACATTATACTGTGAAAATAACTAAAATATACCAAGCGAGCCGTATCTACATCAGTTAACTGTCGTTAACTGTTATGTTTTTGACCGCGAAAGCTGCTGAGCTAAGTTTACTCGCCAGTCTATTAATATGGGGGCCCCATTGCGGTTTGGCATCAATAGTTATGCCAAGGAATACAGTTGAGTCAATAGGGTCCAACGTCTTCCCCGGATAAAAGTACATCAGTTTTTACATGTTTAACATTGGAAGTTGTAAATTTAATACATTTAGTTTTTTTTATTATTCAGCAGTAAATTGTTAGCACTAAACCAATGTACTACAGTAGATAGAGTATTGTTTACATCGTCATAACTTAAAGAACGTCGGTTTACTTTAAAGATTAAAGAGGTATCATCAGCAAACAATACTACCTCATGATTATTATTAACAAGATAAGGTAGATAACATCAATGGGAGGAGTACTGGTACTGCGAAAAGCCGTTCTGCTCACCCTGCGTGTACCGTTACCGAAACGTGGTGAACGGCGGAGCAACTGGTGTTGGCTCTCCCGGATGCTGTGGCATCTGGTCAATGAACTCGGGGAAGTTCGTTGCCCGTGCAAAGACGTGTCATCCCCAGAAGACAGGGGCTTTGCTCGCTGTGGAGGAGCTGCCGAGGCGGCCAACGCAAGCAGGGTCACGAAAGTTACATTTTTGCTGCAGCGAACACTGTCACGTGGTCCTACCACAGTCAAAAATATTTTAAGTACATATTGTCTAGTGCGATAGGGAGTAATATGATCAAATTTTCGAAGGCCGAAAACTTATCAGATGCAGTTGTTGGATAGGCGCTCGAGCTTGTTGAGAAGGTATTTGTTCAAGTCTGGGTCATCTGCATAGTCAATTATTGGTAGATTAAGTGACTGAACAAGTAAGAGTTTGATCTTGAAAGGGAGAAAATTCTTCTACTTAACCATAAATAATAATTGAATGTTATTATTTCACGTAGGTACCACAATTTATCTGCACGCCCCGGTTCGCCACTTGTAATCCTTGGTTAAGATAATTGCAATGAAGTATGAATAAATAAAAAAATAATAAATAAATTCACCATGTTTAAGTTTATTTTTTTACGCCAATGAATTTAAACATCTTAAGTACGTACATAAGTAAGAAAACACAACTTTTTATGTAAAATGTGTATGCAAGAGAGAAGCCGGTTGACACCCCATTTACGTCTACGACATTTAAAGGGTTCAGATGTATTGCCAACATAAAAAGGAGGACTCCGGATATGACACACGAAAGACAAAATGCAGAAGTATAATACTATCTTCTCAAGCTGTTCTTCTGAGAGGATGATAAGCCTAAACACTGTCCCAACAGCAAAAGTTATTACATGGCCCTAAGTAACCACAGTAAGTTTTTTTCCAATGGTTTCACGTACCTTAAATGTTTACATACAACATACACTACTGCAATAAGGCTTGTCGCAGAATTTCAAAGGTTTTATTATAGTAATGATAAGAAAAAAAACATTCCGTTTCCTACCTTGTCGTTTGCAGTCGTCCTGAAATTACTGTCGTTAATTCCGTTTGGGTAGCAAAGTACGTCATTAATGTTACAGTACCTGAAATTATCGTGGAACATCGAGTAATTGGAACGGTCGAGCTCTGTGCGGACCGTAATAGGGATATTAAGGCAAATTACATGAACACAGATCATTTTAAATTAATGGACAACATATTAAACAAGAAGTCGTCGTCAACTTTATCCTTTTATTATCGATAACAGTATGAGTATTACAAAAATAGAATAGGACAAAAGGATTTCAATATTTCATAACTGATATAAGCACGAGCAACTTGGTATACCAAATATATGATGAGCCAAACGTCATCAGGTTCATAAGATGGGACGGATGCGATGGGCAGGGCGCGTGGTGGGAATGGACGAGGCCAGAGTACCTATATGCTTTCTGGAAAGCCGGCCGGAGGGCCGCAGGAGTAGAGGCAGGCCCAAGCTCATGGTTCAACGGCGTCGAACAGGACACCAAGAACTTGGGCACCCCCAAGTAGGCTACAAAAATAAATCAAATCATAATCATAAATATATTTATTCACATAGATGCTTGCGCGTTCTTATGAAACGTCAACATTTTACATAAAAATTAATACGTTCGTAAGTAAGCTACCACCGGTTCGGAAAGCAGTTTCTGTTGAGAGGAAACCGGCAAGAAACTCAACAGTTGGTCGTTTTTTAAAACGATTAGTTTACAATATAATAGGAAAGGTATAAATCTTACTTTAGCCTACGTGGGTATCAACAGTATTAACCCCACACATTGGCGTCATGATTCTGCAATTCGATCCTTCAAGATATTCCGCAATGGTTATAATATGCCTTAGCCATTAGTTCACTTTTAATTTTGCGTTTAAATTGATCTAGTGGCAGACTTAACATCGACTGTGGGATTTTCTTATACATGTGCACACTTTCACCCATGAACGATCTATTTACTTTTTGTAGACGAAACAATAACGTAAATAATTTATCTTTATTTCTAGTATTTATTTTATGTCTATCACTATTCCTTAGGTAACAATTAACCCCCATTGGACAGGCATTGCCTAGTGTGGGGGTCAGAAATAAATTGAACTGTAATTAGGCTTTTTCTGAATAAAGTTTATTTAACTGTAATTGAGATTATTTCTAACATACAAAATATTAAAATAAATACATTGGGACGCAACAGTGAGCATATTAATCTCTTTAAAAAGATCTCTGGGTGTATTCCGGGCTCCAATGTTATAAGATTGTTATAGAAAGCCATAAATAGATAGGAGAGAATATTGTGAGGAAACCCAATGATATTATATACAAATACGAGGTAGATATGGCACTAGCGCATCGAAACTGAGGCACTCAAACTACACCAATTGGTGTAATTAGATAACAATTTTATAGACTGCTAACTCTTCCCCTATCATACGTTCTATATCATCTGTCACGTTGACTTACATAAGTATGTCAACGTCATATAATGTAAAGCGGAACAATTTTTAAACGCCGCACAGTATGAACACCTGCATATTTACGATATATGTAACAACATTGGTAAATTAAAATCTGTAAAAAAAATGGATGAAAAGATTTTCGCTTTTGTGTTCTATTGATACTTACGTATCAAATTTACTATTTACTACGTATCAAATTTACTATTGATTACTTTCGATCTTCTTTGCTATCGAAATACCATACTTTTTCTTCTTCGAAAACACCTCTATATTTATCGAAAAACACCTTATAATTATAAGAAATCACCCCCATAAACCCCTTAATGTATAATTCAAAAGGTACACGGAAAATAGGGAGGATCTTAGAAGGGATATCATCGAATCTAATACTTTCACCCCCATTCCTCATCTCAATTTACTCTGGCCTTTTTTCTTATCTCTTTTCAATGTCGTAGATCGTGTGTTTTCACGAATCTGGAGGACATGAATGAAAAATGATTGCAGCCTTTGATTGGCGACCGAATCATCTGGTATTAGAATTATATATTCTAATCTAATACCATAAAATTTGAAGATTACGTCTGCCCCGAAAGAATTGAAAGATTAAAAATGTTTCGAAGTCCACAGTATCTTGTAGTCGCTAGACGCTAAATAATGTTTCATATAATAATGTTATTGTATGTTTAATAATAATGTATATTAATAAAATAGTCAGATACGCGCGCTCGGTTTTACTTAATTATACTCGAGCAATCTGAGCAAAAATCCGGTGCCGATACAAACAAAACATTAATTTATAACTTTATTTTATATTACTCTCTCGAAATGCAAATTTAAGTAGTATCTAATATGTTGATCATTATGAATTACCAGATAACTTTTTAAGATTACGATACTTGAGGTCGGTTTTATTTTTTATTAATAAAAACATTTTATTTAAATTTTTATTGTGCAAATTTCTGAATTTTAGATGAAACCTTTAATTTTAGAAAAGTTTGACGAAAAGATTTTCGTCGCTGCGGTAATCGAAGCCACGTCATTAATCTAAGAAGAAGTTGGAAGAGAGATTGTTTTAATATTGGAACGCCAAGTTTTGAGTTCCAAAAATTCTTTGCCTTTCTCTTTCTGGTTCTTAACAGTATTAACAGAATTGCGAGCCTAACCAATACTACTTATTCTCACGACGAGAATATAATCTATCTACTAAAATGGAACAGATATGGTTTCCTACTGTATAAATGAATGAAAGCGTATGTACAAACCTTATCTCGAATTCCAAACTAAGCTTGATACTTAATATTCTGTTTTTATACTTAATCTTAATACTTAATCTACTTAATCTTTTACCCTTGTCAAGTTCTATATAATTTAAAGAAAACTACAATTATGAGTAGTCCAACTCATAGAAATCCAAATAAACCGAAGCCTTTCTCTGTACCACAATATCAGTATCCGTTACCCCAGAGCCATTGTTCACAGCAAAACTACCGTCCGTCATTGAGCGTTGATTCGCAACTTGTACTCGCAATAAAAGCAAAATCTTATTCGAATACACCGCACGTTCGACATACATTACGCGTCTAATAAATAATGAATGAAAAAGAAAGTACTCAACAAACAGCATTCTACTTTCTTCAATGCGAAGTAACCTGTATATTTTTTCCTCTAAGCAAAGACTTCGAAACACGCAACAATTTACACTACATAAGTAAATTGCGTATGGACTCATTAGTGAATAGTTTGCATAGATATTCCAAACGTTTGCCGGAAAACTATGATGACTCCGTGTCGTAGTTGCCAGGGGGCTTCGACGAGCCTCGGGCTTGTGGGTTGTCGAGTTATTTCCACACGGATCAACTATTTGTGTGACCCACAGATTTGTTTGGATCTGGTTGTTTGTTCACGTAAAATTTATGTATGTTAAATGTCCTTAAAACAATATAACGGCATCGTATTTACTACTATATTAAAAGGCAAACACAACATATAAAATAAAATAGTTTAGTTATAAGTTCCCAAGTTTACTGAACTGAAGATTCAAGAATAAATAGTACAGTTAAAGCTGGCAATTGTATTATTTTATTATTGTCTAAATAAATTGTTAATTATACATTAGTGTAGAACGGTATAAAATGTTCACGAAGATATTAAAGTATCACAAAAGTATAAAAAAACAAGTTTAACATAAAGTACATTTTATAAAGCGATTGTTGATTAAGTGAAAATCGTTGAAATCTTGATGAAAAGATGATTTTAAAATCTCAAAAGCTTTGAACAGCTTTATTTTTCCATCTTAATTATAATGAACACGAGACTGCAAAATAAAAAGCGTCTATCACCGTCGCCGTATTCGTAATATACATCGTTGTTCATAACATTTTCCACCGGAATTTAATCTTACGAAAAATCTTCAACCAATAAATCTATATTGATAATGGAAGTCAGCTAGTCAGCAATAAAAATAGAAAATTCCCGCTTTGTCGATACGGATTCAAACTAAGCTTATTAGATAATATGTAATTTAGTTATATTTAATGTTGTAAATATTGGACATGATAAAAGTATTTTTGCCTACATCGGCCGATTTGGAGAGAAATTTCTAATGATTCCGAATTAATTCTGGAAACCTCGGTCAAGTGATATCCTGCTAGGAAAAGTAAAAGAGTATCCGTTCTAGCGATTCGAACTAAATATTCAAACGAGTCGATATAAAGCAGCCGTTTGCCACGCCTGTACGCATTCCGCTTTAGTTAACACGCATTGGGGTACACAATGTTTCTTATAGTACTTATTTACTTAGCCGGCTACCAGCCAAGTTTAGCGTCAGGTAAGGCATTGTTTATATAGAACTTAGCTATCAGTGTCCTTACTCGGATTATTCACGCCATTTTATTCGATGAATTTTGACAAGTACCTCCAGTTCATTCAAGTTCAAATTCCGTGTATATTATCAAGCTTTTTGACCGGTTTGTGCTGTGTGCAAAAGTAAATCATATTGAATATATTGATTAATATTTCATCAGAGCTGTATATAATATATTTTGAACGCCTTACTCGAAAGTACATCGACCTTGGTGACTCCCATTTATTTTTTCATGAACGCAAGAAATATGAGAGAGTTGACTAAAATGTCGAAATAAAAATCGAAATCAAAGGTCGGGTTGAAAAGGTTCTTAATCTATGGCTTTCCGCTTGGTGGAATCACTTGGACATTTTTACTATCCCAACAATCTATCTCAAAAATCTATAATAGCGTGAATTGTTCGATTCAACCATTGAGCTCACCGAAGATAACACAGCTGAGACATTGTCGATACGTAGTATTGACAATGAAGACAACGCAAGTTTACGGTTATTTGTATCCCGTGACGTCTAACTCTATAAAGAAAACGGTCAATCGATTGGTAATAACATCAAACAAATCCTTACTAATATTATAAACGCGAAAGTTTGTATGTATGCATGGATGTTTGTTACTCTTTCACGGCAATACAACTGAATGGATTTTTATGAAACTTTACAATAATATAGCTTTTATATCAGAATAAGACATAGGCTATAATTTATAAATACATATTTTAGATATATCTGTCTTTTTGTCTGAATCTTAACGCCCTCAGCCTATTCTACGCAGACGTAGTCGCGCGCAGCAGCTAGTATAAAACATAAAAAGGATATACTTCGCAGTTTTAGTATCTTTCCAAGAACTCGTGGCAATTTTTAAGCAAAATATTATGTACATAGAAAATAATGATAATTCTTTACTTCCTTATCACTTTATTATTTATATATACATAAATATCATTAAGTAATATAAAAACCATTTGAATTATTTATCACTTTGATATTTGCGCCGTCACGTGACGTCCATTAAATTTCAAATATTAAACGAGTACTTTACGCTTCAGGTAATTTTATATAAAGTTATTATAAACATGATGTGACTCGAGTAGAAACGCAAAATGTTTACGACAAAGATGCTTCATATTGAAATCACTTTTGAAATCTTGTTTAATATTCCGTATGGGTCGCAGTTGAGAGTTGGAGCGCTCGTCTTTTAATTCAGTTTTAGAGTAACCGCAGTTCAAATCTTGGTGCAGACATTATTGAAATTAAACATCACAAGAGCATATCTAAGACATGTTTAAAAACAGATTTTAAGATAGATGTCCGCCACCTTTAGAACAGGGAACGCTTTTTGTATCAAGGTTTATTATATAAGAAATATGTGCCATTCACACATATTGTTATTAATGTTACGATCTATTTCTTGCATTGAATACTGCAGATTGCTAAATACAATTAATTTACTGACGACTATCGATTAAAAATAATTTTGGTTATATTGTCTTTAATATGAACGAAATAAATACGCAAAAAAATTAACGGTGCCCCGAACTTTGACATTATAAGTTAAAATATCTATATCATGTTTTTATACATTTTATAATCGCTCATGCGTCATAGTTAGAGTCATTTAATTTTTCGAGTCACGTATTAATATGAAGAACATAAGTAATGTTTAGAAAGTCAGTCACCACTGGACAGTTTATGGAAACCTTATCAATTGGAACCCTATAAACTGGATTAGCAATCTGCTATGCCGGTGGTACGAAAGAATTCTCAAAATTGTCTATTTGTCAAAAACTTGCATTTTCAGACATCATTTTATCGGAGAGGGTTCCAATGAACGGTAAGTTCACGGAGGTGGCGCAGGGGAGCGATGTTGAGGACGCAATGGAGCGCATCGTGGGCGGTAGAAACGCCACCTGCGAAGAGTTTCCCCATCAAGTGAGCTTCGTGGTGAACAACTCCTACTTCTGCGGCGGTTTCATCATCAGCGAGAGTTACATAATGACCGCGGCGCATTGCGCACAAGAGTACGTAATTTCCATTTATCTACATTAACAAACTCTATCTTATTTATATCATTGGATATTCATCATGGACAAACATTCACTGTACAAAGATGGGGATCGTTCTAATTAATTATTTGGTTTCTTTTTCAAAAATACTCTAAAAGTTTTCAAATGATTTTTAGAGATGGATTTTCTTAATTTAGATTTTTTTACGAGACGGCTCTTAGAATCCAAGCGCTGATCGTCCGGAATAAGTAAAAAATATATTTTTTATCTTTTGGGTATTGGTTAAATAATAAACTAGCGGTCTCGTGGTTTCTGACGTGCCAAATTTTTTTGTTTTTATTTTGTTGCGAAACTGATATACAAAATGTAACTGTACTGTTTTTTATTTTTATTTTATAATATTCGATAAGTAAGAAAATGATAATTATTCTAGTCTGGCACCCTTATTACTGACAGCTGTTTGTCAGACCACCCATATATATTTATTTAACGACAGATTTTATATGTAATATATTGGAAAAAGAGATTTTCTCCTTCAAAAGATGAAATTCTGAAAGTTTTGATCTTGTGCTCTTTTTATTTGTCAACTATACTCATTAGTCATGAAATATTTTACAACTTTTTTCTAAACGTTTTAGTTTTGCAATGTCTTGGTTAAATATTTTTATAAAGCTAAACAAGTTTAATATTTAAATAAACTTATTTTATTATTATATTAACAATATCATAAAACGTATTTATTATATGAATAATATTACAAAACTTATTTATTATATTTAATAATATTTTAAATAAACTTAACGTGCTTGAATGAGGTGTAAACATTTTCGGAAACTAAGAACTAAAAACGATTGGATTTCAAATTAGTCCGGTCGTTGTACTCAAAACACGCTCACGTTTCGAAACAAGAAAAGTTTTTAACTTTTCCTAGAAACAGAAAGAAATACTTCGGAAAATCAATAAAGCTAAGCTAGTGATAAGGGTCGGGGTCCCATCCATGTTAGTGAGAAATAATGGTCGAAGATGCGGGCAGAATAACAAATAAGTAAAAACACGTAAGGCTATAGATTTATTTTTACTGGTCCCACGGCTATAAATCTACATCATCGATCATAGTGGCTCCTGAATAGTAAGTTTTAGCAAGTTAATGGTTGAGCAGCTTTCTTTACTTTTGAAGCATGTTAACAAAATTAATCTTTTTCAATAGCAAATCGAAAGTGGTATTGAGATATATAACAAAGTAAAATCTCTTTTTTCATTTTCAAATGAAATGTAATCAGAATTATTAAGCAAAAAAAAGTAAATTAACAGGCTCTAAATGTCCCACTGCTGGGCAAAGGCCTCCTCTATACAGAGGGTATCAGGGCATAGTCCACCACGCGGCCCCACTGCGGATTGGCGGACTTCACATATCTTCGAAAAATATTTTTTTTTGTTATTATTTCGAATATATGCAGGTTTCCTCACGATGTTTTCCTTCACCGCGGAGCACGTGATTAGTCAGCACTTAAAGTTAAAAACTTCATTGGTGCCGGCACCGGGGATCGAATTCAGGTTGCTCGAGTATATTGAATAAAAGGCGAGCGCCCGGACACTGAGCTATCGCGGCTCGAAATATTAAGTGCTGCTGCTTTTTATAGTTCTGATTACATTTGAAAATGAAGAAAAGAACAATAAAGAAGTATTAAAACCTGGTGGTTAATTGTGACGGAAAAGCAACACCGAAAAAATGGAAACATCGTTTATTGAAATTTAAAACATGACTCTCTTTAAACCCACCCACTGGTGCAGGGGAAACAAGAAAAAATTCAATTGTCGCGTTGTAATACCTTGACTCTCTTGCCCTCAGCGTGGACCCGTCCACGGTGGTGATGAGGATTGGCAGCACGTGGAGGAAGAACGGCACGACGGTCACCGTGGCGGAGGTGATACCTTACCCGGAGTATGACAATCCGCCGTATGACAAGGACGTGGCCGTGATGAAGCTCGCTGAACCGCTAGAGTTCGACGCGTGCACGCAGCCCATCGCCCTGCCACCGAAGGCCCTGTCAGCGAGGTACGGCGAGATCATGACGGTCAGCGGATGGGGACGAACTAAGGTGAGAAAGATTAATATTCGTAGAAAAAGTACGAGAAGATTGTCGCCGCTGTGGGAATCGAACCCACGAACAATGTAGATAAAACACGTTAAGATTTTCGTCGGTGTGGCAATCGGTTTAGCTCAGTGGCTAGAGCGTCAGGCCGCGAGTGCCGACGTGGGTTCGATTCCCACAGCGGCGAAAATCTTTTCGAACTTTTTCTACAAATTTTAATGTTTAATCTTAAGTGCTGAGATTAGGAATATAAAAAATTTAAATTTCTAAGGTGAGAAAGTCCAAAAACAGTTTTAGCTTCGCTTAGGGCCAGCTGCGGGTCGATCAAAGAGAATACTAAAAGTGTTGTATACATTTTCACTCGGTAAACGAGTAGATAGTTCACCTGATTTCAAGCGGTTCGGTACCTGAAAGTGTTTAACATATTCTTTTAAAGCGCATACACTGGTGAAATAGTTTTTCTTGACAATAAGTTGATTACACTTCTTTTTTTACTGAAGTAAGACACAAACATCTCAACACGGAAACCAAACTTTCCGCAAATTGCTACAGCTCTTGAGTTAATATTTCATACAACGTGCCTCTTATTATTTTTTTAAACCTTCATTATTATTCGAATGGCCTTCAATGAATATTACAAACAATTATATTTATTTTTACATTTTAAGCAAGGCGTAACGATGATACCCGATAGACTTATGGCTGTCAATTTAACAATCGTCAACCACACGGTGTGTCGGGCTGCGTACATACCTCTGACCATCACGGAAAACATGATGTGTGCCGGTAACTTTTTCCTAGGCGGGAAAAGCACTTGCCAGGTAACTTAACTTCACTTATGTGTATTTAAACCTTTGACCTGAAATAGTTATTGGCATAAATAACGCAATCCCACTTTTTTGCTTTCACTAAAACCTTACCTTATAACATGCAAACAGATCTCTGTATACTAGCTGCTGCTATACTTATTCAACCATCGTTTCGACAACTGAAATGACATTTGAGAAGGCATTTGACAGCTGATTAGTGAATTTCTACGATAATCTTTGTTTCAGATACCGGGCGTAGGTCTTGCGTTTTTATTTTGCTGTACACGGCGTTGGTGTTAAATGAAACTTCTATTTTTAGGGTGACTCTGGTGGAATCGGAACTATTGATAACGTTGCTCGCGGCATCGTGTCGTTTGGACGCGGCTGTGGGCAGCCGCTGGCACCGAGCGTTTTCACCGACATCTCCGCGCCAGAGATGAGGGACTTCATCACGAAGCACACAGGATTATAGGCTATTACAATCTCTATGCTATTACAAAATCTTGTAACAATAGAGCAATTAATACAGTATAAGTCAATTAAATTATTGTTATAAATTAACAGAACAACGTCGAGTTTCATTTAATTTCTAGTCCCCCTAAAATGTATGTTCTGACAAAGTGTTCTTCGACCAACTTCACGGTATTACCATAGCAACCAATAACAACTTCTTGACATCACTACATAGTATAAAACAAAGCCGTCCCGTTGTCTGTCTGTCCCTATGTACGCTTAGATCTTTAAAACTACGCAACGAATCTTTGCAGTTTTTTTTACTAGATAGAGTGATTCAAGAGGAAGGTTTATATGTATTGCATTGCAGTGGTCCGAAGCCTGGGAGGGTCGCTCGTTTATCTATAATTTCAAATCTAATTTTTATTTTTTTAAACTGATTGTAATTGCATTCAATGTCTTTTACACAGACAAAGACCAACAAAAAAATAAAATTTATTTTATTCTGTTACGTTAAAGAACTTCATACGTGTATACATAAGTACACAGATATTTTTTTTTCTAAGTCACCTACAATGTCTTGAGGAATAGGGGCGAAACTTATTGCTTGAGATTTTCATGCCTTACAAAATCAAATGTAATTGTTTTAATAATCTTCGAAATCTATTTCATAACGCATTCAAAATATCATTTACAATAATACTAGCTTTTCACCCGCGGCTTCCCTCGCGTTGAAGCCCTTAAATAAATATCTTTCTTTAAAAAAAATCCAATTAGAAAATTGTCTATGTCCTTTCTCAGGCTCAAGGCTATCTATGTACCAAATTTCATTTAAATCGGTTAAGTAGTTTTGGCGTGAAAGTGAGTCAGACAGACAGAGTTACTTTCGTATTTATAATATTAGTATGGATAAAAAGGCATTTCCTCCTTTGGCATGACCGAATGCGCGAATGCCCTTCGATCCAACCTAAGAGGCTAGCGGCCCATAAGCTAGCTCCCTAAAAACGCAAAGGGTATTATAGACAATGTGGGCATGATCACTTCACGGGCAATCACGCTGCAAATGCTGTCCAATGCCCCAAAAAATGTCAAAATGTTAAACTGTTGAGTCCTGACTGACAAAACTAAGAGATCAGAGAAAGAGCGAAATTTGTGGTCATGCTTCTTGAAAAAGAAAAACGTCTAGCTTCCGAGGCAATTATGCAGCTGTGTACAGACTGTGGTTGGCAGGCTTCAATATACCTCCCAACTTAGAGATGGTTCCTTGTTGCACGCAAGGCCTTGTTCTCTGTCGGCTTGACCACTCCTAAGCTCTTAGCCAGCCGGCATTCCTGCTCAAGGAATTAAAGCAAGTCGCCAAATAGGGGTAGAAGGTGGCTGCGTGTCCAGCATACATGGCTGCACGTTTTCTCGAATCTCAACTTGAGGTCCTGAGGATTATGGGACAACACAATGGATATTCGCGATTAACAACAAAACATCTTGAGGAAACCTGCACATTTTCCAAATAATAACATAATAATATATTTCGAAGATATGTGAAGCCCTCCAATCCACAGTGGGGTCGCGTGGTGGCCTGTGCCTTTGTAATGAGGAGGCCTCTGCCCAGCAGGGGCACACTTAAAGGTCTTTGATGCAAACTTTTTGAATCGTTATATCTCAGAAACAGTGGCTCTTAGGAAAAAAGTACCCAGCAGGGGCACACTTAAAGGTCTTTGATGCAAACTTTTTGAATCGTTATATCTCAGAAACAGTGGCTCTTAGGAAAAAAGTATAAAGACATTAATTATAGATAATTATCTGATCTACAATTTTTGTCAAGACTAGTTTTATACATACCGTTTTGTACCGTTATAAATCGCAGAAAACACGTCTTGGAACCCTCGAGCCAATAAACCCGTAGATTTAAATACACCTTAATTCTAGAATAACACGTTTTGTACCGTTATAAATCGCAGAAAACACGTTTCGACACACCTCGAGCAATTTTTTTCCAGGTATCGGATTGATGAGGATTCTTTAGATTTCGTTTATGATAGTGTTTTGAAAAATCCTACTAATTTTAAAGTGAGGACAAATTTTTTTTGGTCTAATTTGACCGGACTATAACTGGACACCGATTAGTTAGTAAAACTTAGTTTTTTTATTGATTTCTTTTTCTCTTTAAAATTGTCATCCTATATGTATGTCCTATTACAAATTGTCAATATCAATGAAGTACTTTGAATGATAAGAATGCATCATATTATGTACTTCACAACCCATATTATTGTTTGTTTAGAATATAAGTACCGAGGTTGTAATGAAGGAAACAGCATTGAAAAGATGTGGGTTATCAGAAAACCGTATAAAAAGCATTGTGATAAATGCCCAGGCGTCCAACGTTGCTGCTTCATCTCCATTCGCTTCATTAAACGTAACTGTTAATCGATCGACATGAGACGTTTCATCTTTGCCTACTCAGTCATCTTGATGCTCTCCCTCGAGTCAAGTGAGTAATTTATATAATTTCAATCACATAACTCGGTTTTCATTTGTTTTTATATTTAAAATTGGTAGAAAAACGGGCTAAACATTTTTCGCTGCTGCGAGGATTTGAATCAACGTCCTCCGAAATACGCACGCGACGCTCTAGTCACTGAGCTAAACGGCATACTTCACACCGACAAAAATCACGTTGATATTTAAAACTCTGGCGGCGGTAAAAAACTTATCGTCCATTTCTCTATAAATTTTTAATTTCATATTAAATGTATAGATATGTTATTAGAGAATATTATATGATATAATATTTTTTTATATAACAAAAATTTCATATGACTAAATAGTTTTGTTAAACAATAAAGGATCAAAGGTCTCAATCATGAGCCCTTTTTTAAAAGTAAAAGTAGGATCAGTGATAAAAATTAATCTTGTATATTTCTCTTTTTTTAAATAAACAATGTACATCAACCAGGGGTACATTACACACTGAAATTTCGCACAGCATAAAAAGTAATACCTGTATTGCAATCCCCCTGTGAACCTTTTGCGATATTTTTATTAAATGGAGAAATAATGGATAAGATGAAAAAAATAGCATAATTTTAGAGCTTAAATAATGCGCCCTTAAATTATGTTTCACAGAAATGTTGTCGCTCCAAGACGTGTACGTGGACGTACGAAATGTACGTGAAAGTCAAGCGAGGATCGTCGGCGGTCGAGAGGTTACTTGCGAAGAGTTTCCTTACCAGATCAATTTTATAGTGAACAACTCCTACTTCTGCGGTGGATTCATCATCAGCGAACGTTACGTACTCACAGCGGCCCACTGCGCTCAGAAGTACGCAATGAAAATTGTACCACACTGAGTTTTCTCTGTGACATTTATAGGATCCAAAAAAATATTTTGATTATACCGTGTCTATTTTACTATACTATAAAAGTCATCTACTAAAAGACTGCGATAATATAATGTTATTTACGTTTTCCAATTACTAATTCTATTGTTGAATATTGTTGCGTTGACTATTGAACATGCTCCCTTTATTACCATGCAACACTCGTACAACAAACAAATACTTTACGGTTCTGTCCAGTTTCTATATCTAATACCGGATGATACAAATTATTGTATTCTTCAACTTATATAATTATAATTCAACTTCTCCGGATCACCCGTTAGGTTGACTGGCAGAAAATGCCTTTGGCATTAATTTCGCCTTTGTGCAAATATATTTTTGTGTATAAAGTTTCAAATAAATGAATATACCTTTCAGCGTTGACCCGTCCACTGTTGTCTTGAGATCGGGGAGTACATTTCGAAGAAACGGTACCATTGTTCCGATTGAAGAAGTGACACCGTATCCAGAGTACAACGACCCCCCGTTCGACAAGGACATAGCGATCATCAAGACCGCCCAGCCTATTGAGTTCAATTCCTGCGCTCAACCGATCCCATTACCGCCCAAGGGGGAGTCACCAAAACCGGGAACGGAGATGACTGTTAGTGGTTGGGGACGCACAAGGGTATATAATTCTCATTTTCCATTAGTATTCAACATCGTGGACCACACAACCATGACATGATCAATATTTTGTGCAGTATCTTAGTTTTACCTAGATGCAGAAATAAATTTATCAATTCGGCTTGTTAAACCAAACCCTTTTTTCAAAAATTCTCTATCTTTACAGGAAATAACGGGGAAATGAAAAGGGGATTGAAAATTAAGACAAAATTTAATTATAGAATGACCAGCATATTATGTTACTTTCTAAATGTTTCTTGTTATTTCAGCAAGGAGCTTCAACGTTACCTGATAAACTTATGGCTGTCAACCTAACTATTGTGGACCACAGGCTTTGCGAGATCGCCTATCCAACGACAATTACGAATAATATGCTGTGTGCTGGAAACTTCTTTCTGGGAGGAAAAAGCGCTTGTCAGGTTGTTATTTCATTAATTTATCCTCCCACCACTTGCCATTACCAGGATTTTATATATTCGATTGATGTTAATTACGCGAAAACTTTGTTTTATAAAAAAGAAGGATGCAAAACTTTTTCCTACCTATATAGGTTTTGCGATTACCGCATTCTGAACTTCTTACAATGTTAATGATAAAAGAAGCACTCTAGATCGTGCCAAGTATTGCTAATAAAGCAGACAAAAGAGGTTAAATAAGATGACGTAATTTTCGCGACCTCTAATCCTCTAGTGGATTTCATCGACCGCTAAGCTTAGTGATTGGAGCATCGGGGCGCGTTATCCGGCTGACGTAGATTCGAATCCTAATCCAGGTAAAGTTATGCACGTAAATACCTCACCACTGATATACAATGAGGAATAATAAACGGCAATTATTATAAATAAACATGAAAAGGTTGTAAAGTAAACTTTCTATGTAGAGTTTTATTTTAAAGATTGTTTTATTATGTATTCAAAATGTCGTCTTACTTTGTTAAAGGGTGACTCTGGTGGAGTTGGAGTGATCGATGGTGTCGCCAGAGGGATCGTGTCCTTTGGCCGTATCTGCGGACAGCCGTTCGCTCCTAGCGTATTCACCGACATGTCCTCCCCCCTGATGAGAGACTACATCACTAATATGACAGGATTGTAATGGCTACCCGAGTACGAATAGCATAATAAAATTGCTGCCTGATTCTCAATTTGTTCTCATTTCAAAATTCTTACCGATTGCAGATACATCATTATGAAGAACTAGTAAGTATTACCTTCTATCTAAGTATTCTAAGTATTATCTTCTATCGGATGGTAATCAGTAATTTAGTAGATTATTAAGAATCAAGCTAGAAATTTTTTCAATGTAAGAAGGTGACAAACGAGCTGGCGGTTCACTTGTTAAGTGATAGCCGCTGCCCATTGATATTAGCAACAGTATATTATTAAAGCAACACTATTTTAATAAAGTCAAGATGTAAAGAAATAATAACAGGTAAAGAAATGGGCCCTGGCAATCTCACTAACCAGAAGAAACGCAGTAGTATAACAATTCCACTTCACGCCGGTCTTCTGTTACGCCGTGGTTACCCAAACGGACCTGCCAATTTGATCAACAGAGAAAACTGTTGCGTGGCCCTACCACAACATCTGCTGCGATATTATTGGGCCAGATAATCCGGGGAAGAAGCACGGCCAAAGGTGATGAACGTAAAAATCATCGTTTAAACGTTATAGCCGACTTCCAAAGAAGGGTAATGTGTTTAGATCGTATGTGTATACGAATATTTATGTTTATTTACATGTGTGTCCGATTTTTTTGGCACTTGCTGCGGAAGATTTCTACATATGAGTGTCATTTTATTCGTCATAGTTGTATGACTTATATAGAATATATTCATTGTTATTATTTTAATGCAGTCGGTCTTTTTGTTTTATTTAATAATTTATGCTTGTTCATTTTGCCTGGCAATATTATAACCGGATGTGAGTCCTTTATTAGTTTTGTAAAAATAAAAAAATTGCAAGCGTCAATTTCTTACATGTTGAAGATGTATATATGATGGTTATTAGAAAGAAGAAAGAAAATAAATTTGTTTACCAAAAGCTTGGTATTTTTTTTACTAACTGCTGCCGTTGTGACTAAATAAAATAATGGTATTTGATTACAAATGACAAGGTGAGTTTACGTTCCACGAGCGATTCAGTGAAAAGAAATTTACGCAGTATTTATATACATTAATGATTATTCATGAATGTGAATTATCATATGGTATCTACTAAGAGATAAGATAAGGTAAACGAGGCTCTCGAGTGGCAGCCTCGTAGTGGCCACCACAGTATAGGACGACCCCCCACTAGATGGAGTGACGACTTGTGCAAATGAGCGGGAAGTCGATGGATGCAAGTGGCTGAGACTCGTACCTCGTGGCAGTCTATAGGGGAGGCCTATGTTGAGCAGGGGACTCAAACAGGCTGAAATGATGATGATGATGAACCAAGGTTCCCGTTGCCGCAAGGATTATGCTCATGGGATATTAACATAGCGTCACTTTAATTCAACCCCTATTAAGTCTTTCAATTCTACTGTTCAACGGAACCAGATATTAATCTATTACTGTCTTCTATTAAGTAGTAAGTAAAGTAGAAAGCAGGTAAAGGCCTCCAATGTACAGAGGGTATCAGGACATAGTCTACCACACGGATTAAGTTTTTTAATAAATATTTTTTTTTAAATGGGACCATTATGTCTTACACATATTATAATATTTTACTTTAAACGAGCAATTCTTGTATATATATATATATAATCGGAATCTCGGAAACGGCTCCAGCGATTTTCATGAAATTTAGTATGTGCGTAGATTCGGGGGCGAAAAATCGATCTAGCTAGGTTTCATTTTTAGAAAATGTCCTTTTTTCCCTGTTTTCACGAAATGAAAAATATCATTCGAATATGACGGTAAATTTCGCCGCAAGAGAAAATGTCATAATAGCTCGGTCGGTAATCGGGCGGCCCCAAAACAGACGGCCGTGGTTCGTGTCACGATCATTTGCACACTCTTTTTTTTTTACTTTTTTTTTATTCCAGGCCATTGCTTTCTTTATTTTTTATTTTTGTTGATCCAGAGAATTTTGTTATTTTTTTCCCTTTTTTAAAGTTGTTTCTTTTGGGAAAAACACCACTTCATATTTTATTATTATTAGGTCGGTAAGATATTATGCATATTTCATTACTCAGTAATTTGTATCTAAATGTAATTTCCAAAATACACGATTTACAAAAAAAAACCAAGCAAAGAGCCGGTACTCCAGGTACAGTTACATTAAATGTAAATGAGAAAAAGGCCTTATAATTGGTGTACCACTAACAAAACACAAGAGATTGATAATAATAACTTCTCTAGTCTGATAAGTACAGTGAACGGAACATTGTTTTGTGCCCAAATAACGTACGCATATTTACATTCTAAAGAGTGTATCACGTTATATTATACGATTTGCGTAAATGTCAAATAAAATCAAATCAAGTCGAATTAAGATAGATACAAAGCGTACTTCAACTTCATAACATGGCGATTTAATTTCTTACATCTCTCTTGTGTCTTCGTACCCAAACACGGCTAAGGTGACGACAGCAAATGTAAACATTCAACATTCATACACAAATGTAAAAATGTAAATAATGATAGCGAGTATCGCTTAATCGCTTAAGTGAACAAACAAATGTTCGTTAACTAAACGACAGTACGTACGTTGACCTAGGTCAACGGGCGTACTTGACTGCAGAGGAGGACGCCCGATGGGTTTTAGTTGGTAGGTCTGCCCTTTTCAGGGTGGGAGTCCAACATAACTCTTCTTGCTTCCCCCGCAGGAGAGTATGCATGATGCATTTCCCATCGTAAAAAAAAAAAAAAAAAAAAAAAAAGCGTTATATGTTATACGATGGGTCTGTCCCTGATCCTGATGCAGCACGACGAGACTGATACCTGCAATGTTTCTCGCGGGAGTGGCCTCCACTCAGGCCGGTGTGTATGCAAGGGGGCACAACCATGAAATGTTTGTGCAGCCCGTGGGTTTTGACCACAAAGGTTTTGAGGTCCCTCGCAATGATGACATTCACGATGTAACGGCAAGCCCCCACGTTGGTGCATAGGGACAGATTTTGATGGGATTGTATACATGTCCGTTGTCGAGTGGAAATTAACAGGCACCATGCCAACCATGCGGGTGCCGCGTAGGTAAGCGGTGAACGAACAAATAATTTATACACCGCTAACTTATTGGATCTCGCGCTGCTTTGGTTTGATAGACTACGTTATCCACCTGGGAGGGCCATGCTTAGCAAGAGTTCGATCGTACATTCGAGATAAGTAACGGTAGGCCGCCAATCTATGTTTTTGCCTAAAGAAGCGCAATTGCAGGATTTCCAATAGAAAGGCACACGCGTATGAGTAAGCGGTCGTGAACGTTGACAGCTTGCAGAAGTTTAAAGCAATCCGCCATTTGTCTAAACATTCTGGCAGCAAGTCCAGCAATGTCTAAATCTTACTATTTCGATGTAAAGCTGACGAGATGACGTAAAGTATATCATCGGCGTACAGAGCCTTCTTTCACCATCCCGGAGTCGACCTTTCAGGATAGAACTCACCTCCCCAGATAGAACTCTCCAAGCCGCACAAAAGCGTGTGGCAATGTGGTATGCTTGATCAACAGCAGACCCTTCACGTTGCACAGCACCTAGATCTTCACCGGCAGATCCCAGTGATGCCGGAGTAGAATATCTGAGACACCCAGCCTACAGAGCAGTGTATCATTAATTGGGTTGGGTCCGATAAGTAGCCGGTTGGTTAGTATGTGCTTTTGTAATTGATAGCTTTCTGTGTCCAGTAAGTAACGTTGTAGTTTTAGTCTTACTGGAATAATCAAGAAGAAAGAAAACTTTACGTAGGTTCTATAAAAATTTCTACTTTTATTTTTAAAGACTATAAAATATAATTACCTAAAAATTATTTCTTTTTCTTTTGTACGTACTCATTTCATGTGCATGAGGAAATTGTTAATAATAATAAAATCATCTGAATGATAAACGTAAAGTACTTAATATGTTGTGTCACATTAATAAATTAAGAACTCATATCATTGTTTATTTGGATATTCCAATGTGTGTACTTTCCGAGGTTGCAAGTTGAGGTTATCCGAAAATGCTATAAAAAGAGAATCGCAATCAATAATCGGGCATTCCAAATAGCTGTTTCATCTCTATTCGTCTCATTAAACGTGTCTGTCAATCGATCGATATGAGGCGTTTCATAAGTGCCCATTCGGTTATCTGGATGGTCTGCCTTGAGTTACGTGAGTACTTTCTATCATTCCGATTTTATGATTATGACTATCCCAGTTGCAGTCAATGGTTTCACATAAAATCGTATCAAATTAAGGAGCTACAAGTTCTATGTTACTTTCTTTTGTTACCGCGAATGCAATCATTGTGTCACACTTTTTAAGGAATTTAATTGGCGTTGTATTACCGGGCGGCAGTTTTTTGCCGAATTTCAAATAGTTATATTTAACAATAAAAGATCAAAGGTTCGAATCTACACTCGTGAGCAAAAAAACCTATTCAATCGTTACGCACGAGCTTGGAATTCTTTAAAAAACCCATTTGTATGTAAGATGGGTGACATGGTTAACACGGAAGGAAAAAACAAACAGCTCATTAAAGCTCTTAAATGAATTTCTATAGATATACGATGGAGATTTCGTTATATTTCACAGTGTCGTCCAAAGAAGTTTCAACAGGCGATTTAAAAATAACAGGAAAGATCTCCCAAGGAATAGAGGTTACTTGCGGAGAGTTTCCATATCAGATTAATTTCATAGCGAACTTTTTCTGCGGTGGATTCATCGTTAGCGATCGCTACATCCTAACAGCGGCGCACTGCGTTCAGAAGTGCGTAATGGAAGTTTTATCACACTCAGTTTTCAGTCCGAAGTGACAAACTACATCATAGGATCAAATCAAATCATTTTGACTTTTATTCCACCACGTCCATTCCAAGTATATATTCACGTGTTCATCGTTTAAAAGACATCTTCGAAAATGATGTACGAAACAGACTGTTATTAACGTTTAATTTTTCATTTAACGTCAAAATTTTTAACTGTGGCAATCCCTTCGAACAGCTTTCACTCTTGCACGAATGGGCAGGTCCATCCGGGGACATCCACGATCTCACAGAAAACTGGCACGCAATGGCAGAGTTATACTTGTGCATTTCGTCTTTTACTTAGGTGGCCGGGGCCGACTTAATTAAAAGGTGGCAAAGTATCTGCATCCGATTTTGTTAATGTCCCTGGGTGGCGGTTATTTCTTTACATCAGGTGAACCGTCAGCTTACTTACCATCTTACATTAAAAAAAAATCATTTGTTGAACATATTACGTTGACTATTGAACGCTCTTTGGTACCATGGAACACGGGTCCACCCAGGAAACCTTACGGTTCTATACAGTTCATACTTTTTTTTTTTACTTTCACCGTATGATACAAATTAATGCATTATTGAATGTCTAACAACGGTCCCCTCAACAACTGCGGTTAAGACTAATTAAACCAACCCACTGTCACATAAAAGCAACCTGTAAAAGCAAACAGGAAACTTACTACAATAAAAGTTTCACTAGAAATAACTGTTTAGCTACAATACTAAGTGCAGTTGATGCGTTGTTCCGCATCAACATTAAATCTAACATTCTCAATAAAATAAATTTACACATTACAAATAAATAAATTTGAATATTATGCAATTCTACTCAACTACATTACACATTATAAATATACCTTTCAGCGTTAGCCCATCCGCCGTCGTCCTGAGATCGGGGAGTACATTTCGAAGAAACGGTACCATTTTAGCAATCGAAGAAGTGATACCGAATCCAGACTACAACAGCGAAACTTTCGACATGGACATAGCAGTCATGAAGACCACCCAAACCATTGTTTTCAATGACTGCACTCAACCAGTCCCGTTACCTCCTAAAGGGGAGTCACCGAAAACGGGACAGATAATGACCGTTAGCGGTTGGGGATACACAAAGGTATAATACTAATTTTCTAATAACATTTAACTTTATGATCACACGGCCAGGATTGCATTTGTTCCTATTAATCCTAAATAAATAGAATATTTCTTTGCTCTTCCCATGGAGTTATGTTAATAAGGAAAACATGTTTTTGGAAATTTAAACACTACGAATGAAATGTCGTTTTTAAATACCTTTACCTTATCACCAAAATCAGATTAAAACCGAGCGAGGCTCTGCTGAACTGTCAAATTACACTTAAAATTAAAAAAAAACTGCTCGACGAACCGTTCAAAAAGAATTGACGGAAGATAGTATGATTTACCTATGTTTATCGTATGTATATCCATTTAGCGGTGATAGCTCATTGTTCGGGCGCTCGTTTTTAATTCCATACACTTGAGCAGTCCGAGTTCGATCCCCGGTGCCGGCGCCAGTAAATTTGTTAATTTAAGTGCTGGTTTATCACGTGCATAGTGGTGAAGGAGAACGTCATGAGGAAACATGCATATTTCCGTAATAATAGATATTTGCAAATATGTAAAGTCCTCTAATCTGCAGGGGATCGCATGGTGGACTATGACCTTATACCCTCTGTACAGAAGTTTTAGATTAGCAGTGGGACATATACATGCTGTTGCTTTTCTTTACTTTTACTCATACTTTTACTTTACTCAAGTTTATCAATTGGACATCGAAATCTTAGTCCAAAATCATAGCTCGCTCGATCGAGATTCAATTGATCATTTTCATCTGTTCTGCTTATAGAATGTACATACTGTGTCTTTCCGTATCTTGTGTTTCAATCCTTCAATTCGATATAGATTCAAAATTCACTATATTGGGTTTGTACCAAAATCTCTGTCTACCATTTAGATTTTAAGAAAGCGCGCAAGCTTATTTAGATGCAATGTGAGCTATAGGTACTTTTCAATACAGTTCCCGATATACATATTATGACCATAAATCAGGTATTTATCGAATTAAATTACAATTATATTTGCACAATCCTGAATGAAAGCTCAAATTTAATTTTAAAATCAGAATTAACTTAAAGAATTAAATGTTTTATAACTGTGATTTTAATACCTTTTTAATTTTCTATAATTGTAGATAAAGATACAACACATAAAGATATAACAGGTCAATATTAAAATCAAACTTTTGTTATAGAGTGACGTCACGCTCAGACGTTACTTTCTAAATGTTTATTATTGTTCCAGAAAGGATCTTACACGTTGCCTGATAAACTTATGGCAGTCAACCTGAAAATTGTGAGCCGTAAGCTATGCGAGGCCGTCTATCCAACAATGACGAGTAACATGTTGTGTGCCGGCAGCTTAAAGGGGGGACAAAGCGCTTGTCAGGTTGATGCTTCATTAATTTGTATATTAAAATATAAATCATCATCATTGTGCCCTTATCCCTTCTTGGCGGCGTCGGAAAAATACGTAAATCATGCTATAAGCGGATTTGTCTATTGTTGGGGCTACCTTCTAACACCGGTTATGATGGTATAAATGATAAACTGACTGCCTGTCGCAATATACTTTAATGCTTTCTCTTTCTCTTCTTTCTTTCTACATATTGGTAGATTTTAGATTAAAATTGCAAATATTTTTTTTATGTGAGAAGGTGCCAAGTGAACTAGTGGTTCACCTGATGTTAAATAATAGCCGACGGCCATGGATATTTGCAACACCCGTATGGTTGCTGATGCGTTTACACCTTCTAATTAAGTGGGCCCCGGCTACCTCACTCACCAGAAGAAGAAATACAAAAGTATAACACTTCCACTTCACGCTGGTTTTCTGTGAGATCATGGTACTTACCCGGATGGACCTGCCTATCCTTGCAACATAAGAAACTGTTACCTAGTCTGATGAACCTATTACAGTAAATGTATTAGTGCAACTTATTGGTGTCGTGGTTATAGCTTCACTCCTGTAAGGACAAACGCTTGCATAAGTGCAGATTTTTGTTCTAGATCTGATAATAAGTTCTTCAATTCAGTGAGCAAGTTGTGGACATAAAAAATTTCGCCGATCTCATGTTTGGATGGGAACAAACTGCAATTTTTATAATTGAACAAAGTAAAAATATGGACATAGATTTTTTACATAAGCAATATTTAAAAATAGAACAACGCAAGAATGTGCTTTCGTGAGTGATTTCCCGTAATAAAACAATAAATTCAGATTGTTTCATTATTATGGATTTAAAACGTGGTCTTTCTTTGTTAAAGGGTGATTCGGGTGGGGTTGGAGTGATCGACGATATCGCCAGAGGCGTAGTATCGTTTGGCCGTGTCTGCGGACAAGCGCTTGCCCCAAGCGCATTTACCGACTTGTCCGCCCCTCCCATTAGAGAATTCATCACTGAGATCACGGGATTGTAGCATCTACGCGAGTACAATAATAAAATTGCTGCCTAATTCTCAACTTGTTCTCATTTCAAAATACTTAACTATTCAAGATACATTAAGACAAACTAGTCACACAAAACTGATAAGCTTGCATCTCACCAGATGATAAGTTAGTCACAAGTTTGTGGGATGTGAAGGCATACGGTAACTTGTGCTGCAGTATGATTAAGCCAGAAAGACCCCTTAAGTATCAAGGAGACCCACGTAAGGTGGGTGTTAAACTTATTAAACTATTACGTTTTGTACAGTGATTTTTGATATCTGGAAGCAAACCTTTCAAAAGCATTGCCACATTGAAGACGTCTATGAGTGAAGGTTATAAGTTGCTGCTCGTTTTTCACAAATAACAGAAACTATCAAAAACAGAAGCTTCCCCCACTATGGTAAGTAAAGAAAGATAATAAATATCAGGTGTCCCGTATGCCGATGCCGTTTGTGAGTTGTAAGTTACCGTCACGATCGTTCAACACCTATTTAGTGGTCTCACAATAAAACCACATGTTAATCTTTTACTCTTTTTATTAATTTTTTAACAAACGTTGTAATGGGACTTTTATTTCTTACATATATCACAATAGAAATATTACATCCTAATGAAAACTAAACTAAAACGGAGGCACCCAAACTACACTATTTGGTGTAATAAGATTGCAATTCTATTAGATAGATTAGATAGTTAGACAGATTATATAGACTGCTATCTCTTAGTGTATCATTCATTCATTCACTTATATTATATAACGGCAGAAGATTTTTAAACGCCAGGGAGTATGGACAAGCATCATCTATATAAAGTATCAGCCTATACACGTCCCACTGCTGGGCCAAGGCCTCCTCCGTACAGATGGTATCAGAATATGTAATTTGTATTAACAATACAATTATCAAAACCTATTAATAATTATACTTTTGCCGTCTGAATATTATAATAATATAACAGGACATTGTTTCCGTACAAAGAATGTATGCATAGTTAACATGTCACAACATGGAGATAATACTTTATTAGTGTAACATTCTGAAGAGCCTATCTCGTATTTTATTATAAGTTTTTGTGAACACCATTATCACAATTGTAAAATAAAAAAATCAAATCGAAAGGATATTAAATTTTGATGCAGTGTGTGGATTTTTATCCATATATTGACAAGAGACATCCTGATTGACGGTAAAGATTGATCCCTCATACGTTTAGACACTAACGCTCTGTTTCCGCACGATTGATCAATTTAAAATTCAACAAACGAGCTGAAAAATATCTTGTTAGATATTATAGTATTAGTATTTAACGGTGGTAGGGCCACGCAGCAGCCTCGGCTGTTGCACGAATGGGCAGGCCCGTCCGGGTTAGTACCACGACCTCACAGAAGACAGCTAGTATGACAAATACTTTCGCGTTTCGTCTGTTGAGTGAGGTAGCGGAGCCCAATTTTCAAAAGGTTGTCAACGCATCTGTAACCCTCGGGTGTAGCAGATGTCCATGGGCGGCGGTATTCACTTACCATCAGGTGAACCCTCTGCTCGTTTGGCAACTTTTCACATAAAAAAAAATATTTATAAGTTGTTAAAAGTATAGTCAACAGGGTTGTCAAATTTTAATTCAAAATCGTTTGTCAAACCCCATTTTTGGATTTGTTTAATCCAAAGTAAAAAATAATGTCGAAAGCGTTTACAAGTAACAATGATATTACATACAACTGATATGACACTAGCGCACCGAAACTGAGGCACCCACACTACACCAATTGGTGTAATAACATTGCAATTCTAAAGACTGCTATCTCTTAGCGTATCATACGTTCTATTATATCATCTGTGACATTCACTTATATATCATACAACGTTAGGCGGAAGATTTTTAAACCCCAGGGAGTATGGACAAGCATCATCTATTTTATTAAACATAATTATCAAGGAAACGGTTTTCGTCTATCTGACATAGTTCTTGCAATTCACGAGCGCGGTCAAAGTTTGACATTGATAAAAATTATCTCTATACATGTGAAGGTGTACGTGTCGGCAGTGTACGATGATGTTTGGTTGGCAACAAATCTATAAACATAATATTTTCACCCGCCTGACTTTAACCCCCGTTAGGAAAAAACACCCAGATCCGGAACAATGATCTGTGGGTCACAAAATGTTTGTCCGACGTGGGAATCGAATCCCCGACCCCCGGAGTCGAAGCCAATAGCTTTACAACTGCGCCACTGAGTTTCTTTTGTATATATGTGAGAAGGTGGCAAACTAGCTGGCGGTTCACCTGATGTTAAATGATAACCGTCGCCCATTGACATTTTCAACACCCGTAGGGTTGAACCTTTTAATAAAGTGGACCCGGCTACCTCACTAACCAGAAGAAACACAGAAGTATAACACTTCCTCTTCACGCCGGTCATCTGCGAGGTCGTGGTACTTACTCGGACGGACCTGCTTATTCGTGCAATAGCCGAGACTGTGGCGTGGTCCTACCACATTTACGATATGTGTATATAATATGTCTACATAGTGTCAGTAGTGAAAGTTAATCCTACTGAAAATTAAAGTATAGTTCACAACTTATTAAGAATAAGTTCAGACAGTTGGTAGACCTTGGGGCTGCACACGTGATGATTGAAGATCTTGGTATAAACCCCCAACCACGATAAAGAAAGATGTGAAGGATGATGATAATACAAAGCGTTACAAATAAATTTTCTTGCACTATTTAAGAAAAACGTCAATCCATACAAAACACAACTAACATCTATGTGATCATGGTATTCACATGGGGGTATTTGAATAATGGTTTCGCTCTAAATACTCTCGTATTCTGCACTTGGATTGCTTCATTGCTTCGCATAATTAAGTTAAAAACGTTCAGTGTGCAATACGCCATGCGCTGTGCCATTTTTATTCTGCTCGTCTGCTGCAAATGTTACCTGATGTCAAGTGAGTACTATTATTTAACCATACTAGTATAACAGGAAATAGTGAGGAGCGTCGCGATCCGTCGCAAAGTTCTATTAATAAAATAGGGCTATTAATTACTTCCCAGATTTCTGTCACAATTTTTTTTCATTAGTATAAATGATAAACTGTCAATAAATTTGCAAACCGATTTGATTATAAACTCATTTATGTAATAAATACATCATTTTAATAGAAGCGCCCAACACCTTTGGACACACAAGTGTTTGGACCACATCCACACATTGTTTTAGGCCCCCAGAGAAAATTAATCGCATTATAGTAAAATTAGTTCGTAATTTGATTTGGTAAAAATTATTCGAAAAATATTCATAGTCAAAATGTAGTCTGTATTATATTCAATGTTGAATAGCTTCCAGATAAAGAAGATGATTACCAATCACATAATACAGAACAAAAGTTCTCTTTCGCTGCCATATTTTCATTTTCTCCCTCCTCCAGGTAAGACCCAAATATAATATTAGAATAACTAATCAATTTTACAGATATCGTACTGTCCGAAAGAGTGCCAATACACAACGGGATTTCAAACGATACGGATGACACACAGCGAATAGTGGGAGGGCGAAGGGCGACTTGTGAGGAGTTTCCCCACCAAGTTAATTTCATTGTAAATAATTCCTACTTTTGCGGTGGTTTCATCATAAGCGAACGCTACATTTTGACAGCTGCACACTGCGCACAAAAGTACGATAATTTATCTTTTTGACAATTTATATTTTTAATAGTTTTGTATCAATTGATAAAATTTCATACAACATTCAAAAAACTCGTCCATTCATCGAAGACCTATGCTAAGTCAGGTCGCTTAGAACAGGAAGACGTCAGACAACCTATTCTTTTGGTTTGTGAAAGTGGTCATCATTTATAACTGGGAGCAATAATTTCTCATCTGAATCATACTTAGTGGTAAAGGAGAATTAATCTACGAAATGCTGCCTTTACTGAATGAATAAATATCAGTAAAAGTATTTGAAGCCCTTCGAGGAAGATTTCAACTCTTATTTCACTCAATATATTTTTTCAGCGTGAACCCGACTACAGTCGTGCTGAGGTCTGGAAGCACTTTTCGAGAGAATGGGACCGTTCTACCGATAATCGAAGTGATCCCGTACCCAAACTATGACAGGCCACCATTCGATAAGGACGTAGCGGTGATGAAGACAGCTGAAGTCATCAAATTTAACTCATGCACCCAGCCCATGGCATTACCAAAGAAAGGACCACCACCAAGACCAGGGACTATTATGACTGTCAGTGGTTGGGGTCGCACAAAGGTACGCACGTAGCTTTAATGAAATCAAAGCCATTAGTTTAATTTCATAGTTTAAGGTTTAAATTTTTTGTCTATTAATCTACATTAATCCAATAGTAAAAATGTTTTCAACGTTCAAACGAATGTATGATTCATTAATACAAAGCTACTGACAACATTAATTTAAATATTCCCTACAATTATTCGTATCAAAGAACTGATTATAATTACTGAACACACTAAGGTCTAGAATTCAATGAAATGACGAAAAGTTGACATAAGCTAACCTTAACAATTTCCATTGATATTTTGTCATAAATTTAAGGAAGGCGCTTCGACCTTACCTGACATGTTGATGGCTGTTGATTTACCAGTGGTCAGCCACTCACGTTGCCAAGCAGCCTATTGGACGCTGACGATCACGGAGAACATGCTGTGCGCTGGCAATTTCTTCATGGGCGATAAAAGCACATGCCAGGTCTATGATTGGTTAATATAATATAATGAACTTTCTATATTTAAAATAAATCTATATAAATAAAATTATAGAAGTCTCCCGTTGTCCGCGCATCACCGAAGACCTACTGGTGCGCGGCACCGATTTTTAATTTTTTTGTTGATATCCGTCGTAAAAATTCTCCCAGACCACAGCTAGCGCGTCACGCATAGTTATAGTTGGTATCATACATATATCCTTGTACTTTTGGTAGGTTATGAAAATATTACCTTTTAACTGGTATTTTGACAATGGAATCCTTCGGTAATTGAGCTTATGGAAGCGATTATAGATCAAATAAAATGTTGAAAATTCAGATGCGATTTGTTACGAAAAAACCTTTAGTTTTAGACATAGAAGAACCCAACAGAATGATCGAAACATTTGAGTGGTATACGATAAATTGAAATCTTTACTCCCTCGATTCAATTTTTGACTTGCATCTGTTGACTTCACCCAGGGCGATTCTGGAGGGGTTGCCTCAGTTAACGGCGTAGCGGCTGGCATAGTGTCGTTTGGACGAGGATGCGGCCAAAGGTTTTCTCCCAGCGTGTTCACGAATATAGCCGCACCGGTGATGAGAGATTTCATCAAAAAACACACACGTTTGTGAGAAACAAATCAGTTGAGAATAACGAACTGTACACATGCCCAATACATGATACATATATTCTTTATTTATTATAATTATTTTGTAACTTAAATCTCGGTTGTTAGAATTTTTTTCAATAAAACTTCAAAGTATTGTTCTATTGTTTTTTCCCTATTTACGCAATTTTAGACTTCCTACTAGATTTTATGAACCATAACATCGGATATAAACACTCACAGTTGTTTTTATGACCCTATTACGCTATGTAATTAAAATATTTTATGATCTTTCTTAAAATATTTCTTATTATTTAAGTTATTTCTTTTTATATATTCATTTTTACATCCGAATGAACACTCGTGTGCGTGAGCAGCTGTGCCAATTGAGTACTAGACAACTCAATTGGCACAGCTGCTAAGCTTTAGGCTCCTCTGATCGTGGGTTCGATTATAACAGTTTTGTTATGTGTGTGTTCAAGAACAGTCACCTGTGTCTGCGTACAACACGTTATATTCGCGTTTCAACACACGTTTAGAAGTAACAACAATTAGAAATTTAAATTGTTTATAGTGCTTATCTTTGCACTTAAGATGGAACATTCTAAAAAGCAATGGCGACAAAAAACGATATTCGAAATTGTTTGTATGCTGGAAAGGATATAACAACGGATGTGCCAAGCATTGCTTTAAATGCTAAAAACCAATGCAGAATAAAAGACGTTAAGATTTTCGTCGGTGTGGCAGTCAGCCGTTTAGCTTAGTGGTTAAAGCGTCAGGCCGCGAATGCCGAAGACGTGGGTTCGATTCACACAGCGGCGACAATCTTTTCGTCCTTTTTCTACATATCTTAAGGATGGTATACTTGTCGTTGTATACCTTTATGACGAGTTTATGATTCACTGGCTTTTGACTTAAGAAATCCAACCATCGGAAACAACACACCACCACTATAATTATAGACTAAGTAATATCAGCAACTTCGTCCACGTGGATCTCATCACGGAAATGACTTAAAGTTTAATTAAGCTTGTATCTTGGGTTGAACACCTATCAAGGATGGATTTGTATTAGGTGCTTTTTTTGTATTAGGTGTTTTTTTTTTATTACATTGTTAAAAAATTGCCAGTTTTATTAAAAGTAAAGTAGTAAAGTAACAGCCTACAAATGTCCCACTGCTGGGCAAAGGCCTCCTCTGGAACGACCAAAGTCCAAGTATCAGGCCAAAGTCCACCACGCGACCCCACTGCGGATTGGCAGACTTTATTTTACGAAATATTTTTATTATTTCGAAAATATGCATGTTTTCTCACGATGTTTTCCTGCTGAGCACTTGATAAGTCAGCACTTAAAATTATCAATTTCATTGGTGCTGGCACCGGGGCAAAGGCGAGCGCCCGGATATTGAGCTATCACGGCTCAGTTTTATTATATAAACTTTTAATTGCCAATTTTTGTTTGAATGTTTGCCTTGTTTTTGATCTTTGCCAAACTTCTAAAATTCTGGGCTGTTTTACCAAAAATATGTAATAACTAGACATCTTATAAGAAGAAATCGCACTCTTGCTTTTTATCTTGCTAGAGATGATGATAAGTATACATGGTTTGGGCAACAAACGTCCATACATAAATTTTTAACCAACTAACTGTAGTCATCCACTCCAATAAAAACTGATCATGAACAGAATTTTATCACTCAGGTAAATTCATTAGTTCAGTAAAAACCTATTCACTGTCGCCTTGAAGACACCCAAATTATTTCTCGCATTTCCTTTACATAAAGGAAAATCGTGAAAGATTTTAAAAAGCGACAGTGATTACTTACAATTCGACGTTGATTTCCGTCATTGGATTATTTATTTGACCTGAAAATATTATCGTGGATTGCAATATAAAACGTATAGAAAGTGCAACCGTTGGGTTGTCTATTACTTACCTGGACGAACTACTGGGCTGGCAGGTGTAAACAGGTATGGCGGTGTAATGTCCTTCACTATTTGAGGGATTCGGGAGCAGATATTAAAACGCGTTGAATAGTACAACCGCCATTTATTGACTGATTCATTAGACGAGGGTACATGCCGAAAACATTATAATCTTCTACCGACAAGAACAATACATATATTACATCCCTCCCCGCTTTAATTGACAACACAGGTGGTATGAGTATAATATAAAAATACAACTTGTAGAAGATTTGACAACAAGACATATCAATACAGGATAGACTATGCGAGGTACCAGCGTACAATGTTATAATTATACACATAGCATTGAATTTCGAGAAATATTGTAAACTAGAGAATTCACAACATTTGTTTGTCACATTATTTTTCTCAATAATACTTCTTCCTCCACAACATAGACAAATAATACAAAAAAAATAAAAACTAATTATCCTAATACATAACAGTAATCAAAACAAAAAAATAACAAAAACAAAAAGTTACAAAATTAATCGTTTAGGTGGTACTACCAAGCGACCAGATCGAGTGCGAATACCTGGCTCGTCAGGAATAGGTGTGCGGGGTTGTTGCCCTAAGTCTGTTGCATTTGACGGCGTACCGAATGAGTCTTCTGACTCAGCCCACTCGGAGGCTTCACTACTACTGCGCAAGGTCTGGTTCACAGTTGGAGTGTTAGGCGTAGTTCCTGGGGGTAACCGGCCTGTAAGCTGTGTTACCGAGCCTGAAGTAGATAAACAAGGATTATCCTCGGTACTCACGTCCTCAAACGTCCATGCTCCAGTACAATTATTACCTTTATAAGAATTGGCTGAAATTAATTGATTCGCGTGACGCCTCCAAACAATATCGGTACCTAGTATAGCCACATCATACATTACTTTACCAACTCGCGCAACGACCTGGCCTAGGATCCATCGTGGTCTTTTCGCGTTAAATCGATAGTCCCTCACCCAAACTCTGTCTCGTAACGTAAACGATTTTATTTTGCCACCAAACCAATATTTTTGTCGGTTTTGATTCAATAGTACTCGGTTGTGCAACTGTGTTTCGGAATTTGAACTTATGCTTTTATACTTATTACCAAATAAATCTAGTTTACAGCGTAAACTACGACCGAACATGAGTGACGCAGGAGACACACCCGTAGTGCAGTGCGGTGTATTCCGGTAATGAAACAGATAGTTATCTAATTGACTTACAAAATCCTTTAAGCCGCTATCTTTGATGGCGTTAATGATAAAACGCTTACAAATCTTAACCGCGTTCTCGGCGAGTCCATTACTTTGTGGCGAATACGCGGGAGACAAAATGTGAGTTATGCCGTTATCAGTACAGTACTTCGAAAATTCAGACGAAACGAAAGTTTTAGCATTATCTGTAACAATAGTATTGGGCAAACCAAAACGAGAAAAAAGTTTCTTTAATTTAATGATAAGATCTTTCGTTAACAAATTTAACATTAATTCGCATTCGATCCACTTACTGTGAGCATCAATCACCACTAAAAACATTTTTCCACGAAAAGGGCCGAGATAATCCAAATGTATTCTTTCAAAAACCGACCTGGGCCATTCCCAGGGTTCAAGGCATGCTCTCGTGGGGTTAGCCCGGAAGGATACACATCGGTCACAATTAGAAACCAATACTTCTATGTCGTGATCGATACCCGGGTACCAACAGCGTTCTCTAGCTAACATCTTCATTTTAATAATACCCAAGTGTGCGGCATGCAGTTCTTGCAACACCGCCTTCCTAAAAATTGATGGCACCACTATTCGATGACCCCTCATTAAAATGTTATTATCAATATATAATTCATGTTGGCATCGATAATATGGCAGCAGTTCCGGTGGAACCTTCCGGGGCCACGAATGAGTAACATGGTGCACAACAAGTGACAGGATTTTATCTTGTTTGAAAGCATCGCGCAAGTCATTTAACGACGCGGGCAGTGGCGCGCCCGCCGCAGCTAGCGCGTTCACATAACTCGGAATCGAAAATTCTGAGATTGCCGTATCTCGAGACGAATCACAATCGATAGGAAAACGACTCAAATAGTCTGCCACATTTCCCTCACTATTTATAAATTCTATCTTATAATTATAAGCCGAAAGGAACAAAGCATAACGTTGCAGCCGGGCTTCCGTCATCTGAGGAACCCCTTATCAGGTGAAAAAATAGATAAGAGGGGTTTATGGTCTGTCCTCAATATGAATGGTTGCTGTCGACCATACAGATATTGATGAAACTTTTTGATACCATAAATAATAGCAGTCGCTTCCTTCATAATTTGACTATAAGCTCGCTCACTTTTACTGAGTGCACGAGAAGCGTAGCTGATGGGTCGCTCAGCACCCGTGCTGTAGCGCACGGCGAGCACCGCGCCCAGCCCGCCGGGCGCCGCGTCCACCGTTAGCACCAGTTGCTGGCTCGGGTCAAAGTGTGCCAACACGCGACTCGAGCTCAACTCGCTCTTGATTGCATCGAATGATTTTTGATGTTCCGCACCCCAAGTCCAAGGCACATCTTTCCTTAATAATTTATGTAGTGGCTCAAGAATAACCGCCGCTTGCGGTATAAAATTACGATAAAAGTTAACTAATCCTAAAAACGATTTTAACTGTTTAACGTTCTCTGGGATATTTACTTTTGAAATAGCTTCCACCTTATCGGGATTTGTATGAATACCAGAGTGGTCAATAACAAAGCCTAAGTACTCTATTCTATTTTGAAAAAAAGAACATTTGGATCGCTGTAACATTAGACCAGCATCACGAAACCTGCTTAATACAGAATCGACGCGTTTCCAATGTAATTCGGGAGTGGGAGCAGCGATTAACACATCGTCAAGAAAACACACCACACCCTCTATACCTTGCAGAAGTTGCACCATAGCACGCTGGAACAAAGCTGGCGAACACGCCAAACCGAAGACCAATCTCGTGTAAACAAACAAACCCTTATGCGTATTTATGCACGTATACTCTTGTGACGCTTCATCCAGTGGAAACTGATTATAGCTACTTGATAAATCGAGCTTACTAAAATATTTGCA